AGCATCCAATTTGGTTGCGACTGAGTCAGAAAATGCTTTAGGAAAGGACGATGAGTTTGCAAAACACGCAAAAGACTTTAATGACCAGATGAAAGATGAAACAATGCATTTAAATAGAGTCGATGGAACTAAAGAAAATGTTTCTTCTCCACCAGCGGTTTATCCATACGGACCTTATGGAATGTATGGAAACCCTTATGAACGACCATTTGACCCATTGACTGGTGGAAGTAATTGGTATCATTATGGACGAAGAAGAAAGACAGTCAAGTTGGAGACAGACGTGAAGAAAGCAACTAAAAAGAAACCAAGGAAGAGAGTTATAAAGCAATGAATTCAACAGGGTAGAAAACCGGGTGAAAAAAGAGTTGAGATTTCACCTAAATTTATTTTTGTGCTATGTTTTCATACGTGTGAGGGTGGTGATATCATTAATTTTTAAGTTTATTTTTATATAAATGACAGAACAAAAATAAAGCATATCTACTCAACAGGAATGAGACCCTTACTGACTATGTATTCGTTTAATGCTTGATGAAAACAATGGTACATATTATCGTATGGGTATACACAACGTCTGTTTCCATCGTCGTCGTATATATAGAGCTCAAATCCAGTCCAACCTTCTTTTGTACAATATGTAGCTTTATTTAAGTATGCATTTATGTAGATAAGGCAATTTTTGTTCTTTGTTGAAATAGTTTTCGTTCCTCTGCGACCATAAGGAATGTATGCAATGAACTTTGCGTCATAAGGGATTGTAATATATTCAGGGTTTCTTTCATCGTCAATGGGTCTGTCTTTGTTAAAATGCATGTTTCTCAGTTTTACTTGAGTTTTGAATAGTTCACGGAAACGTTCTGGGAAAGAGTCATAGTAAATGTAGTCGGACATGTCTTTGTAATGAAATAAAAAATTTTAAAAAAATAAAAATAAGGTTATTTTTATTTAGTGAGGACGGTAGGGAATTTGTTAGTGAAGTCGTTTATGTGTCAGATGGTTTTGTAAATATTTAAGGTTAAGTTGGTGTTATGGTTGTGTTGTAAAATATACGTTACCGGTTTCGTAAAGTGTCAAAACCGCTAAGTGGTGTACGGAGGCGCGCAGTGCCACAGTACGCAACTTAGTCTTACTAACTCTCGACCGATAACGGCGGTGAAAACCGCGGTGAATTCGGCCAGGTTATGCAGGAAAACGGAATAGTTTGGAAGCACACCTTGCCGTATATGCCAAGACAGAACGGCAAGGTGGAGCGCCTGTGGCCAAGCTTAGAAAAGTTTTTGCCAGACGAGTTGGATGATATTCAACAAATCAAGGACTCAGTTCAGCAGTTCATTGAAAAATACAACAATACACCACATTTATCTCTCGATATTAATCCAAAAACGAATAGTAATTACACTCCTAACGAATTATTCGAAGTTTCAAAATTTGGGTACGAGCCAGAAATGCAAAAATGGGAGTTATATATCAAAGACGAATGGGTCTTAGCAAAATTTGAATAATTACATCATTTTAAATGACTACTAAACAATTTTATTTATGATCAAATTTTATATATTTTTTTGGATCAAATCCATTTTAATAGAATTTATATACTATTCATCTATTAGTAAACACTACCGTATATTATTTTTTAAGCTATCTTATTTTTTGAAATTTTATTCAAATCTTTGGTCGCAAGAAGAATTGCATGATAAATAAAAACATTTAATCAAAGTCAATTTTATTTTTCATATTCAAATGGACTGAGTGTTAACATTTAACATTTTTTGCTAATTGTCGTCAAAAATTAGGCGTAAAGCAAAAATTGATATTTCATATGGTTTTATGATAGATAAGCATTATATTCCCACTCATTATATTCGTAAATTTTGAGGTTTATCCTTCGCTTTTAAGATCATTGAATTTGATTTTTATATAAAATAGTTATATATTAGAAAATAATATGAGTTTATGTGATATTATTTTTCAGAAGATTTCATTCTATATGCCTATGAAAAGTACTCTCAAAACTAACTTTTTCCTAATTATAATTAAATCTAGAATATTGTATTATGCTTAGTATTATTTCATTTTTCTCATTCAATTTAGAATTTACAAATGTCAAAAAATTGAGAGCTGTCACTTTTGATGAATTTCTGTTTATTACAAAGTCAATTTGGAAAATTGTTTTCACTTTAGGAGAATATAATTTTCCATTTGGAAAATTTAAAAAGTGAGACGCGCAGGATTCGAACTTTTTTAAAAGTTGATTTAAATGAATTTTAGTGTGGAATATAAGGATAATATCATATTTAAAATAAGAATATACTAGTTTAGGCGGTATTAATTTTTTCGATAAATTTGAGAGTATGTACGTTTAGGGCATGAAAAGTGTCAATTCGCTCAGCGAAAGCTGAGCTAGCTTCGTTCTCGAAAGAATAAGGAAGGAGTGAAGGAGAATGATACAGAAGTTGACACATTCATATCATTTCAACAAATTTTGATCAAATTGAAATTCAATAAAATTCAATTCAATTCATATCCTTCAGTCAGTACATTGATATCCTTCTGCATCACAATGATAACTCGGGCATCAATAGTTCTACAACTAACTCAGAAAAAACAAGATTATTACTTCCTGCTTACAGCTTTTAAAAAGTTTCGATGATAAAAATCACTCTACTCTCGTTTATCGACATATGGTGATAGTAGGTAAACATATTCTTATCGATATTAATAAAAATATTTGTACGAAAATCTTATCCAATTAGAGAGTTATTCATAAAGTATATGATAATTATAATTACTTTATCTTTGTTTTATCTTTGAATAAACAATTTAATTTAAATTGCATAATATTTTTTGGTTGAAAGACAGGAAACTTAGTTGAGTTTGTATTATTTTTATCGTTTAATTCATCGTATCAGTGAGTGATCCAGATATTTAAGATATTTAGAAAAAAAATTATTAATTTGATTAACAAATTTTAATCAAAATAGCAAAAATCTATTTGATAGCTGTAAACAAACAATAATTTTTATTTCAAGCAAAATCAATTATTTTCATCTAAACGTATAAAATTGTCAATTTTATGAAAATAAATTGAAAATCTCATGAAATGTAAAGGAGAGTAATATTTTTCAATTTTCTTTTTTTCTTTGTCTCAAATATTTTCTGTTGGGAATTTTCTTGTTATCAAAAAATAATTTTAATATTTGTTTATTTCATTACATACAATAAAATTTTAAAAACTCTATTTCTTCTCAAGAAAAATTTTTCCTTCATATGAAGAAACATTTTGTTCTCCATTTGATACTGAGTCTAAATCTCGATTTTTGAATTTTCTTCTTTCCAAATTTCTTTTTTCCAAATTAGAAGTATAATTCAAATTTTCAATAGTTTATATATTTTCTCAAACCGTCTTAGATTTTCTCACTTTTTAGGGATTTTCTCTCAAAATATACAAAAATAGTAATACCAATACATGTGTCTAATATACTTTCAAACCATCGTGATAAAATTCAAAAACGAAGAGTTCTTCTCTCCAAATTTTTTTCAAAATCAAAAAAATGAGATAAAAAAATACGTTTGGAAAATTCATTTTTAGCATTTTAGGAATTTTCTCACTTTTCTTCCAAATTGACATCCTTACTGATAATATTATATCAAAATCTCGATTCTTGTACAAGAAGTAATTGAACTTCATTCTGATTACAAACGGAAAAATAAAATTTATCAATGAAGTTATTATTAATTTTATATATTATTATATATTTGAGTTTTCGATATAAGGTTTCAAAATTTGAAAGTATTCAATATTCATAATTTATAATTGAGATACTCTTGTTCATTTGTATTACATCCAATTGAATATTAGACATAATTGGTCGTATAATTAGGAATTTTAATTGAAAGTTCAATTATGTCATATTTTTCAGATACATGAGTAATCCCAAGTAAATATATTAAATATAATTTTGCTCCAAATTGATTTCCTTAATCAAATATATATATAAAACAAGAATAAATATTTCAGAGCATCTGTGAAAGATCGACGGAAGATTCGTTATGGATTCCAGATCAAATAATCTAAAATAGATATGATACTAATGTTTCTCCTCTATATTTCTCGAATTGTTTATGATTAATTTCATTTTCTATCTGATTTTTTCCGAGCCTAAGCACTTTATTGTACATAGATAATAATCGTTATTAAAATATTCAGAGAAGTTTGACATATATCTTATTGATCAGATAAAATTATTCAGAGTAAGGGTTGTTTCATGTTAGCTACTGAATCTATTTTACTATCTACCCTTATATCATCGTTTTGAATTATTATGGCATATTTTCAGCAATAAGACCTGTTTTCATATCTTACGTCTTTAAAACTTGAAAGTTAACACATTTACTGCAAGATATTCTTTTCCACAATACCTGCACTTATATAAATTAATACAATTAACTTACTAAGAATATTTTATCTAAATGCATCATTCATGATTTCAAAAATAAACTCATTTTTCACAAATGAAACGCTCACTTTCATTGTAAAGTAATAGTGTAAGATATCTTTAGTTAATTACGGAAGTATTCAAGATTCCATATTTTGCTTTCAATAAACTTCTAAATATCAATTAGAGACTAATTTTATCTAATAAAATTTAATACTTTGTCCATTTTTTGCTTTAATGGAATAACACTGAGTTTTGTATTTTCATATTTCAAATTTTCAGCAAAATTCGAGGAAAAAGTGTATTCGTGTGAACCAGTAGATGCCTTGTTTTAATTTAATCAGTGACAATAAAATATAGTCAAAATACAATTTATTGAATTTATTGTACGTTAAAAACATTGAACATTTCCGAAAGCAAAAGTAAAAACAATATTTTTAATTAAAGTTTTCATGAAAAAGAATAAAAATAAAAAAAAAGTACTAGCATTTGAAATTTGATAAAGAAGAATAGCCTCTTAAAAGTCTAATCATTATTAAAGGTCACAATATATGATATATATTATTCAATGTCAACTATTCGACTGAAAAGAAGAAGTTGACGTGTGTTCCGTTTGAAATGATTCTCTTTGAGATGTGATTCAAAGACATTCTCGAACAAGAATGTTGTAGAAATGATGTTACTCACTTCGTTGGTTGCATCAATAACATACATGTAAAGTGTGTGTCTTCCTGTCTTTGTTGGGACTGGGACTGAAACGATACTGCTTATCGATATCAGTCTTCCGTCATCATAAGGGATGTTTGCTGTGTAGTTCAGTGTCTCGTTCTTCCTGTTGTCGAGGTAACTGACAAACTTGACGTTGCCTGGTCCATATGTATGGAATAATGTAACATTGACTGTCATGTTCCTTCCGAATGTGCTGATGAAGTAAGGAAGTCCTTCAAGATTCAAGACTGGCAATGAGATGTGATAGTCGATCGTGTAGCTCTTGATCTCAGAGATGTATCCGACTTTGTCTTTCACCCAGATTTGGATGACGTGAGTTCCTACTGTGAGATCTGGAAGGACGATAGTGTAATCGCCTGTCGTTGATGATGTTTTAGTCTCAACGATGAAGTCGAGTGCTTTGATCTCTTGAAATGAGTCGAAATTGTACAAAAGGACACTCGTTTCTGGACCATCGATATCCGTCACTTTGTATGAGATCGGTATCGTGTTGTTCACGTATTTGATGTACTTCGAACCAGGTGACTGTGTGATCTCGAGGATCGGAGCGTTGTATACGTAATCGAATTCATATGTGAATATCTGAGACTTGTTGACTTCGTACTCTGTCCAGAACTGAATAGAGTGTGTTCCGTTAGAGAGACCGTGAACTGAGATGCTGTATGATTTGCTGACAAACGCAGTCATCGATGATATGTAGATGTTGTCGAGAACAATTTCTGGATTGTTATCGAGCTTGTACTTGAGGACATCTGTGATTGGCCCTTCTTTATGCGATGCTTTAACATCAAATGAGAATGTAGTGCTAACATTATTCCTGAAAAGAGAACTTGGTTCTTTCGTGACTTGAAGAACTGGATCAATCCTCTTGATCTCGAATTCGAACGTGATGATGTTCGAAATGAGGTTGTTAGCATCTGATGCCCAGAATGATAATGTGTGATCTCCTGAGACATAATTTGTCGGGAAGTTGATTGTGAATGATAGAGATGTTTCTGCTGTCGAAGATGTTATCTGGACATTAGAATATGTTTTGTTCGCTGTGTCGATATCGAATCTGTACAACGCTTTGAGTGTTTCTGGTCCATCCCTATCTGTGAAAGAGCATGTGAAAGTGATCTGTGTATCAACAAATCTTGTGAACACTGTGACAGGCTGCTTCGTTACTGTCACTACTGGCTTATTATAATCGAAGAAGAATTGATATTCATATGTTTGTGAAAACATTCCTTCGTTATCTAATGCATAGAAATATATTTTGTGGTTTCCATATGTTAATGAAGGCATCGTTATTGACATTGTTTGTGTGATTTGAGAAGTAGACGAGATTGTGTGTGTATTCAGATTTGCATATGCATTTGAGTCAAATTTGTATTTGATGTATACTGTCTTTGTTGGATCAGCATGCCCAACGTTGTATGTGATTGATATCGATGTATCTTGAACATTCTTGTATGTTGATAAAGGTGTTGTCGATATTGTGAATGTTGGATCAATTAAAACATATTCAAATGTGTAAGTAAATTTAGAAGATTCAAAATTGTATTGATCTTCAATCCAGACTTTGATCGTGTGTGTTCCATTGTTGAGGTAAGGGAATGGAATAGAGAAAGTTTGAGTCACTGGCGTTGTTCCTGATGCAACGTTAACTGTTGTGAGTTGTGTCACAGTGAGTGAATCAAACTGATATTTGAATTTCTGAACTGAATTTCCATCACGGTCAGAGAGTTTTGCTGTGATAGATATTGATGTAGAATCTGCTTTCCTGTATGATGAAAGTGGAGCTGTCGTGATTTCTAAGACTGGGGCGTTATAATCGAAGAAGAATTGATATTCATATGTTTGTGAAAACATTCCTTCATTATCCAATGCATAGAAATAAATCTTATGATTTCCATATGATAAAGCTGGAATTGCAGCAGAAGCTGTAATTGATGATACTGTTGTCGACGAGATTGTATGTGTATTCAAATTTGCATATGCATTTGAGTCAAATTTGTATTTGATGTAGACAGTCTTTGTTGGATCAGCATGCCCAACGTTGTATGTGATCGAGATCGATGTATCTTGAACATTCTTATATGTTGCTCGTGGAGCAGTTGTTATTGTGAATGTTGGATCAATTAAAACGTATTCAAAAGTATATGAAAAAATTGAGGACTTAAAATCATATTGATCTTCAATCCATACTAAGATAGTATGTGTTCCATTATTTAAGTATGGGAATGGAATGGAAAATGTTTGAGTTACAGGTGTTGTTCCTGATGCAACATTGACTGTTGTGAGTTGTGTCGCAGTGAGTGAATCAAACTGATATTTGAATTTCTGAACTGAGTTTCCATCGCGATCTGATAACTTGGCGGTGATCGAGATAGAAGATGATGTTGCTTTCCTGTATGTTGAAAGTGGTGCTGTTGTGATTTCTAAAACTGGGGCGTTATAATCGAAGAAGAACTGATATTCATATGTTTGTGAAAACATTCCTTCGTTATCTAATGCATAGAAATATATTTTGTGGTTTCCATACGATAAAGCTGGAATTGTGATCGATGCAGACTGAGTTAATTGGGCAGTTGATGATATTGTGTGTGTATTCAAGTTTGCATATGCATTAGAATCAAATTTATATTTGATGTATACTGTCTTTGTTGGATCTGAGTGACTTATACCATAGGTTATTGAAATTGATGTGTCTTGAACATTCTTATACTTAGACAAAGGAGTAGTAATCATTGTTAGTGATGGAGTAATTAAAACATATTCAAATGTGTAAGTAAATTTAGAAGATTCAAAATTGTATTGATCTTCAATCCAGACTTTGATCGTGTGTGTTCCATTGTTGAGGTAAGGGAATGGAATAGAGAAAGTTTGAGTCACTGGCGTTGTTCCTGATGCAACGTTAACTGTTGTGAGTTGTGTCACAGTGAGTGAATCAAACTGATATTTGAATTTCTGAACTGAATTTCCATCACGGTCAGAGAGTTTTGCTGTGATAGATATTGATGTAGAATCTGCTTTCCTGTATGATGAAAGTGGAGCTGTCGTGATTTCTAAGACTGGGGCGTTATAATCGAAGAAGAATTGATATTCATATGTTTGTGAAAACATTCCTTCATTATCCAATGCATAGAAATAAATCTTATGATTTCCATATGATAAAGCTGGAATTGCAGCAGAAGCTGTAATTGATGATACTGTTGTCGACGAGATTGTATGTGTATTTAAATTTGCATATGCATTTGAGTCAAATTTGTATTTGATGTAGACAGTCTTTGTTGGATCAGCATGCCCAACGTTGTATGTGATTGATATCGATGTATCTTGAACATTCTTGTATGTTGATAAAGGTGTTGTCGATATTGTGAATGTTGGATCAATCAAAATATAAGAAAAAGTATATGTTAAAGGTGTTGAATCCATGTTATATTGATCCTGAATCCATACTAAGATAGTATGTGTTCCATTATTTAAGTATGGGAATGGAATGGAAAATGTTTGAGTTACAGGTGTTGTTCCTGATGCAACATTGACTGTTGTGAGTTGTGTCGCAGTGAGTGAATCAAACTGATATTTGAATTTCTGAACTGAGTTTCCATCGCGATCTGATAACTTGGCGGTGATCGAGATAGAAGATGATGTTGCTTTCCTGTATGTTGAAAGTGGTGCTGTTGTGATTTCTAAAACTGGGGCGTTATAATCGAAGAAGAACTGATATTCATATGTTTGTGAAAACATTCCTTCGTTATCTAATGCATAGAAATAAATCTTATGGTTTCCATATGAAAGAGAAGGAATTGAAACTGAATAAGTATATGTACTTACTGTTGTTGTTGAGAAATAATAAGAATTCATACTTGAATATGAATTTGAGTCGAATTTAAATTTGATGTAGACTGTTTTAGACGGATCTGGATGTCCAACGTTGTATGTAATTGAAATTGATGTATCTTGTGCGTTCTTGTATGTTGATCGTGGAGCAGTTGTTATTACAAAAGTTGGATCAGCTAATACATATGTGAAAGTATATGTGAAGGTTTGTGAAACGAGATTGTATTGATCAGTCACCCAAAATGTTATTTGATGTGTTCCATTATTTAAATAAGGGAAAGATATGCTAAATGTATTTGTTACTGGATCTGTTTTAGATGGAACTGATATCGAACTGGTTGAATAGGTGCTTAATGAATCAAATCTGTATTTTCCTGTAATAGTTGCACTTCCATCTCCATCAGATACTCTTCCAGTGATTGTTAATGATGGAAAGTCTTTTCTATAGTATATTGATGCTGGTGGAGTTACAATTACTAGGACTGGATCATAATATCTGATTCGGAAACTGCAAGTTATGGAATTTGATTTAAGGTTTCTGGGATCTTTTGCGAAGAATGTAATAGAATGTGAAGATACAGATAAAGAATCAATAGAAATTGAATATGGTCTTGTTACAACGGAGTTTTCATTTTCAATAGTAACATTCTCCAATTTGACAGGATAAGAAGATGATGAATCAAAATAGTAATATATTGTGAGATTTTCATCACCATCAACATCTTTAATTGACATTGTTACTTCGATTGTATGGTCTGTTTGATAATAATATTCTGTGAGTGGTTCTCTTGTCAATTGAATTTCTGGACTGTTGTAATAGAAATAAAATGTTTTTGAATAAGTTGCTGAACTTACTGAGCCATTTGTTGCATAAATGTATAATGTGTGTGAACCAGTTGTTAAGTTATTTACAAATAAATCAAAGCTTGTGGAATAATGTTTGGATAAAACACTGCAAGTAATGTTTCTAATATTAACATAACTTGTTGAATCTAGCTTGTATAAAATTTGTAATTCAGTAGTTTGATCAGTGTCCCAAGCTTCTAATTTGATTGGTAATGTTTTGTTTAAATTATGATAAACAGAATAAGGTGGTTCTTTTGTTACAAGAATATTCATCGGATTAGGGAGTAATAAGAAATTGTAACTATATACGGTTGAATTATGAAGTCTATCATTAGCCCAAATATAGATAACATGATTTCCAGGGGAAAGACTTGATGTACTTATTGAGTATGAAAATGGTGTTGGACTTGTGTTTGAATAAATGGTTCCAAGTGAAACCTGACTTCCGCTATTAAAACTATAGTAAACTGTATCATCTGTATAAAGATCTCGATCGAATACTGTACCAGAAATACTTATTGTCGGATAAACATTTACAGTATAATTTGATTTTGGAGGCGTTGTTATAACCAAGTCTGGAGGATATAGATTTGGTCTGTATGTTGCAGAATACCCAAACCATAATACCAACTCTTGACCAGGATTGATTGTGCGATTGAACCAAGTAAAAATAACGCCTGAATCTATATCGTATAAAGGATAATAAGTCTTTGAATATTCAGTGCCAGAGTCAAATTTATGACTTAATCTATAATTATAAAATCCATACCACATCGTATCAACTGGAGGGCAATTGTAATTCCAAATATGAAAATTAAAATCTGTTCTACCATCTGTAAAAGAAAATCCTGTAGAAGTATTCCAAACGGGCGCTCTATCGTTATTCCAGTGAATATCTCCATGAACGGATAAGCTTATCAGACGTGTTAATATGCCATTATTGCGCAATGTGTACACGCCTTGTTGTGGTTTACGCTCGAATCTTATACTAATGTTATCATATTCCAAACTTTCATTTAATGAACTGTATGAACTTGAACCAATTGTGAGTAATGCATTAAAATCGAAATGGTTTACTGTTCCGTCAAATGTCGGTCTAAATATGAATCCATCTGTTCCAGTAAGAGACATTAAAACAGGTGGATAACTTTGATTACTTTGAAAATTGAATTATCGAATTCAATTTGATTTGTATCCAAATGAAAATATCAATATATAATCCTAAAGGAATATTTCTAAGGTATTTTAGTAATCAAAAAATTGAAAATGAAAAATATAACCGAAAGTTTGAAAAAGAATTTTGTAATATATATACATATATGAATATTAACTTAGATAATTAAGGCGTTAAGATTTGATGAATTGAAAAGTTGCATAGAATTTTTGTAAAACTTATTGAATTTGAAATGAATAAGATTTTAATTATTTTTAACGAAAACTGTTTATCATAGATTGTGAAATATAAATTTGTCATTGAAATGAAAAACGATACTAAAATTTTAGATGAAATGATCCTTCATTTTATTAGATATTTATTATTATCTGGGTATGTATATCCGAAAAATCATAAAATTGTATTAAAGTTATTATCAGATATGAAGAAAAATTACAAGATGGATATTGCGTTATCACCAATGATGGATATTTTAAATTTCGCAATACTTTTGTTATCCGATCAAATTCTGATTTTCATACTCATAATTGAATATTTGATCAGAGAAAATTATTTATAAATTGAATTCATTAATTAAATGATGTTAAAATAAGAAAAATCAAATTTGATTAAGGTTTTATTTTCTGAGGACTCACAAATTTAAGGTGTAATTCGTATGCATTTAATAATGAATATAAATTAAAATTTAGATTAAAAATTAAAAAAATTGATACCATTTAAAATTTTCTTCACATTGAAAAAATAAAACTTGATCATTCTAACAATTAATTTATCATGCAAAATTTTATAATATTATATATATGAGATATTTCACCCGATAATCGGTAAATTTCTTTAAGTTTTGAAAACACGTTTTTTTATATGAGAAATATTCTTAAAATTAGCTAGTTTTTAACCCCTGAAAAATGTTTTTATTATTAATGAAATCCTTTTTCAATTACAACCACAAACTCTCAAATTCAATACTATGATTATATATTAAAAATATGATAATCATATATATATATGGCAGCAGTTTTTATCACTTTCAATAACCAATTTGAGATTTGACCATTAAAACAACTTGTAAATGCCCATTTCGGACATTATTTCCTATTGAACTTTCATATTATGTATGAATAATTGAAGTTTTTCACCTAAATCATGTGATTTTAAATTGAAATTAAGTTATGTGAAGAGAATTTTGTATGTATATTAAAAAGAATTGGAATAATTGCCATAAATTTGTGATTGATAAAATAACTGAGGTCTAAAACCTAAATTTTGAATTGAGTTTAAATATATCTTCGTGCTCTGAGTCTAATTATTATTCCTTGTGAGTAACAATGATATGGCAATTCATAAATCCATTCTTACAATTCATATAAATTAGAAAAATTAGAAACGTACATTTTTTAAAAAAATTGACAGAAAAAAAAATAAAAAGATGTTTGTTGGAGGTAAAAGAACTAAAAACTTAACAGCGCAAACTGTTCAGCCAGAAGACCAACTACCAGATACACCAATAGAGAACATTGAGACTATAATTAATGCTGTAGATCAAAGAAATTACTCAGCAGCGATAACTTACATTCAATTCCTTGAAGAAGATCTTAATCTTGATGTTGACATAAATTTTAAGTTATGGAAAGGCTATTGCCTTTTCCACCAAGGAAAATATCAAGAAGCTATCGATCTTTACAATCAAATGCTGGAAAAGGATCCAAACAACTTAATTCTTCATCTTTATATTTCATCATGCTTGTTTTACTTAAAAGAATTTGATGAAGCTAAAGCTGAAGCTGAAAAAGGACCTCAATGCGACTATAAAACGAGACTTTTATTCCATATCGCTCATCAACAGAACGATGAAGAACTTCTTTTCCAGAGTCACTCGAAATTAGTCGGAACGCTCGAAAATCAGCTCTCTTTAGCTGCTATTCATTTCCAGAGAAGCAATTATCAAGAAGGCATCGATTTATATCAGAAATTACTTGCAGAACATCCTGATTACATTGCTTTGAATGTTTACATTGCTATGTGTTTGTTCAAACTTGAAAAATATCAAGAATCAAATGATATCGTCGACGAATACTTAGGAATAAATTCAGACTCTGCAGTAGGACTCAATTTAAAGAGCTGCGATTACTTTAAACTATTCCCAGATCCAAGCGTTGCTGAATCTCAAATTTTACAGATCAAAAAGTTCGGAAGTGCAAGTTATACATTCGTGGATGAATTGATACAGCACAACCTCTGCGTTTTTTCGGCAGGAGTTGATGGATACAAAGTTTTTCCAAAATTAATTGGAGTTGTTCCTGAAGCAAAGAACAATTTGGCGACTCTTTACATTAAGGACAATAATGCGGATGAAGCCTATCAACTTCTTGAAGATTTTAAACCATCAGATGTAAATGATTTTATCCTCAAAGGAACTGTCCTTCTTGAATACGGACAAAACAAGTCGGACGTTAACCTTATTGAAGAAGCTAACCAAATCTTTTCAATTATCTCTGAAATGGAAGATATCAAAGATACAGTTATCAGCCGCTGTGCAATGGCCACAACTACCTTCATTAACGGCGATTTTTATAAAACTCTCAAAATCATGGAGACTTTCAAACACGTTTTGGGAGTTTGTGAAGAATTTATTTACGATGAAGGAATGGCCAATGCGGTCCTTGAGAACTGGAAAGATGCTGAAGAATGTTTTGCTAAGCTTGAAAACTCTGCTTATAAGAGCGATCCTTCTTATATGTTGTGGTATGCCAAAACATTGCTTAAAAATAAGAAATACGAGCAGGCTTGGCAACAATACCTCAACGCAACCCAAACGGAAACAGCTACATCCCTTTTGCAGATAATTGCAAGCGAATGTTATCTAAATGGCGAATATGTCTACGCAATGAGAGCTTACGATACGCTTAATAAGGTAGACTTTAACAATGCAGAATATGCACAAGGTCTGGCTGCTTCTGCTGCAGGAGCATTTAAGAGATTTTTGAACCATCAAGAAACACCCGATGTCGTTACAGAAATATTAGGAGTTCTTGGTAGTGATCCCACATTTGAGAAATATTATCAAATAATTCAGAACTTTATCGATCAAAATCCAGAACGATTTCAATTTGATGATATGTAATTATAATAAATTGTATTTTTGTTTTCTTTTATTTACTTTGCATATGATTTCTTTCGTTTTTGAAGCCATTTTTTATGAGTGATGAATCTTTTTCTGATGTAATTGATGATATTAATTTTGACGAGATGGAAAATGATATACTTAACTTCGCTAACGAGCCATCAGTCAAATCATATCTAGAACTTGGCGTAGATCTTAAAAATTATAAAAATCAAATATCGACCGAACTAAGTGCAGCCCAACAAGCATCAATACAAGACTATTTAAAGCAAATTCCTTATGTTACTGCGCTTAGTAATGACTTAAATAAATGCGATGAAACACTTCAATCAATGGAAGACAGATTAAAGCTATTTAACGAGTCACTAAGTCAAATGTCTTATTATATTAATAGCATTCAAACAAAATCCCAAGAAATTACGCAAAAACTTAAAAACAGAAAAGAATATGAAGCATTATTAGGCGAATTTACACGAAGTATTGCAATTACTCCAGAATTTGTACGCGAAGTTACGGAATCCCCAGTCGGAATTGATTATGTTCAGACAATATTGCAGTTAGAAAAGAAAATTCAATTTTCAACTCGAAAAGAAATCAAAGATATCAACTCTTCGCAAGATTTTCTTATGACATTAAACCGTCTACGTCTCAGAGCTGCTGAAAACATCAAAAACTGGATAATTGAAAAAACTTTAGAACTTGTTATGTATCCAGAATCACAACCAATTACTCAAGAGAATATGCTAAGATGTCATAAACTAGTAGAATTTATGAAAGAAAGCTCTTTGGAGATCGATAAAATGTGTAGAACAAATTATATTGAAAACATTTCAAGATATTATCAAGAAATGTTTTACAATCTATGGAAAGGAGTTCTCAGAAAGATGTCACAAGCTCCTCTTCAGTCAGATACATTAGCTCCTCAGCAACAATATTTTTCTTTCTTTTCTCGAAGGAAAAACACCGGTGAAAACACTTCTTTCTTCAGTCTTGGCGATAGACAAAAGGTTCTCAATAACCTTCTTTTGCCTTCTGCGGATATTCCCGAAGGAAGTTTTTCACTTGAATTTTTAATGCAAAATTTTTATATGAAATACATAAATAAAGTTACAGAAGAACATGATTTCATTGCAGCATTCTGGGCAGACAACGTAATGGCATTTTCAATCTTTTCTCCAATTTCAAAACAAATTGAAATGTCAATGGAACAGCTTTTGCTCAAAATAAATGATCCTGTATGCGTATCGATATTATTAAGAATCATTAGTGCTCACAGACAAGAGCTAAATCGAAGAAGAGTAAATTGTATCGATCAACACTTGAATTCCATTGAAATGTCGCTACTCATGAGGTTCAGACTGATCATACAAAATAATATATCGGCGCTTGAATCAACAGATCTCTCGGCTGTCATAGAAACAGGTCATTTTGCAAATGCTTTTGCCAGAAGATTCTCGGAATTCGCTTCAAGCATTTCCAAACTGATCACACCTGCAAATGAGGATAATTTGGTACCTTACTTGGATGATACGGCTGCTACTTTCTGTCAATTATTTGAAAGGGCGTCGAAAAAACTGCCAGTTGAGAAAAGTGACGCTTTTTTAATTAACAATTTTATCGTTGTTGCCAACGTTTTAAGACAAAACGGACGGACAACTTTGACGCAACTTTTCGATGCAAAGCATGATGATGCATGTGCGAGATTCGTTGAAATTTGCATCCAAAATCATTTCGGAGATCTCGTGTCAACTGTTAAATCTGCGTACCCTAATATAGAAAATATGAATCCTCCGACGAAAACTAACTTCGGGCCGACTGTTTTAATGAGAATTGCGAATGATTTCAAAGAAAATCACTCAGCTGAAATGAAAACAATTGCTGATTCGATGTTAACTCTTTTTGGAGACTTCACTGATGGGAGAAACATCCTCAGAAACATTGCAAAAAGAACTGTTTTGTATTGGACCAAATTCGAACAACTAGCTAAAGCAATCATGGAAAAAGACCCGAACTCAATGAGATGGGTCAATTCTATGCTTTCGATACAACAGCTTGTTTTAGATATCAGACTTTTGACTGAATCATTTTGATTTGTTTTTTTATTTTCATTGAATAAATGTTTTGTAAGAATTATAACATTTTAAGACAATTTACTTCTCTAAAAGCTGTTTATTGTTTAAGTAAAATGAAACCGAATACTGATTTTAATTAATAATCAATCCCTGTGATATACTAATGGAAAACCAGGAAATAAAATACATCATTTGTATCTACTAGCTGCTAACGAACTCATATTGTTTCGTGCAAACATATATTATTCCAATAATATTTTAAGAGATTGAGAAATGTTTGGATAAATTGATGAATATTGCCTGAAACTGAATAATTTAAATGCTATTCAGTAGATGAAAGCTTCACGAGAAAAAAAAAATAAATTTCAAAAAGAAAAGTAAAGACCGTAAATATTCATTTATAAACTATACACAACTGTTATAATACAATATCAAAACAAATGAAAAACTTCAAACAAGAATTATTATAAAATAAATTAACTGAAACATGAATGCTTGAAAAGCAAATCATGGGCGTATACGAAACAGAACAATTAGCAACAATGGGACTTAGATTCGTCTTTATTTTTCTCTTTCAGAACGAGATCTGGTATTGAACTTTGTTCCATGTGTGGATTTACTGCATGTAAGTGTCCAGCAACTAAGCTAAAGAGGTCATTAACTCCTTGTCCTGAAAAGGCAGAAGTTTGATGAAATATACATTTATTATCTTTGGCCCATTTTAATCCTTCTGAATTTTGGACAACAAAGCCTAAATCTATTTTGTTTGCTACTAGATATAGTAAAATATCATTTTTTGTATATTTTAATAATTCATCTCGCCATTTTTCAACATTTGTAAAGGTATCTGGATTCATTACATCATACACTAGTATTGCCGCATGAGCATTTCTTGCATAAGTTGAAATAAGACTTTTATATCGTTCTTGGCCAGCTGTGTCCCAAATGTTTAAAACTAATTTATCTGTATCTACTTTCATTACTTTGGTTAAAAATGAAGCGCCAACAGTTGGCTCATAATCGTGATCGAAAGATTTTTCAATGAAACGATGAATTATACTAGTTTTTCCGACATTGGAGTCACCAAGCATAACTACTTTATACTCAGGCAAATCCTCTTTCCTTTTGGCTGCTGACATTTTCAGTACGAATTTATTGATAAGAGTGACACTTTTAGAAAAAACATCACTATCATCATTACTCTTTCTTGGTATTGTTTGCGATTGTTTTTGTGTTTTGAGAATGGAGATATAATATATGGCCTATTGTATATATGTATGCAGATAGATATGATATACTTTTGTGTTATTGGTTTTGATATTTCCTTGTCAATGTTGCGAACAATTTGATCTTCACTTTTTAATTGTAAACGTTTCTCATCCAAAATCCTATAGCCATAGACCTTCCATCTGAAATGAATTAATTTTTAATCTCGATAGAGCAGTAAGATATGTGAAAAATAGTAGACATGACTATGAAATTAAGTTCAGCATAATTTTTGTTCAATTCGAATGCATTTCAAAAATTGTATTCTCAAAAATATGTAAAAACTTAATTTATTGCAAATAAATAATAAACTTATAAATAATATAATCGATTTGCCGATTTATAAATTAAATATTTCTCATAAAATAATGCATAAGGTTCAAATTAATTCGGATTTCAAACGATTTTTCCAAAAAAAATTCGAAATACAAAAAATCAATGAAATCTTCAAGTAGCTTGACATCATTATTTGAAATTCGAAAAAAATTTGGAATTTGATGCATGTCATCAAAACATCCTAAACATCATATGCAAGTCATCTACTATGTCAAACTTCGTTTATCCAAGTAATATGATATAGTATCTTAACTAAAACTCGACTTAACAATGATACAACCGTTCAATTAACAGATACACATCAAGTAGTGTTTATCTCCTCTTGATTTCTATGGTAAAATTAATACATGAAAAAATGAATATCCATTCACTAATAATGTCTAAGAGGAACAGTTTGTATCATCTGATATTTGCTTGCGATGATGTTACTACTTTGAGATATTGGATTTATCTAAATATCCTTTTTTTAAAGTATTTCCAGCCACATAGATATGAAATTTATTAAATAAAAAAATTTTGAATACTCTCCCATGTTAGATTATTCTCAAACTTAGAATTTATTTGATAAAAATTTTGACTTTAACATATTTTGAGATAAAAGTTTCTAAAATATATAGCAATCTGAATGACAACGAGAGTCTTAAGGTCCGATTTCTCAAATGATGGAGCAAAATTAAAAGAGGTGATACAAAAAAATTGACATTTATAAATGTTCGCATTACTCACTTTACTGAGTTATGCATACGTAGCGATGGATGTTGGTAGCGAATATGTCAAGATTGCTGAGCCAACCATCAAGGGCATTCCAAAAATGCGTTTTGATCCAAATGGCAAAAATTGGAGAGCCGCAATTGCCATCAGAAAGCCAGAATTAATACTCAACTTCACATTAGACAATTCAACTGAGAAAGCCGGCATTAGATATGGAAATAGTGCACTTTCAATCCTCAAACATAAGCCATACAATGGTTTCGAGTTTATTTTCCGTGCATTAGGACGTATTCTTTCTCCATTCGTCACCATGTTCAATACCACTCCAGCTGAAATGGCTTCTGTTTGGATTCAAAACATTGCCAACCAATATTTGAACAAGGAAGCAATTTGCTTTGCAGTTCCTCAATATTGGACAACACACCAACGTAGAGTTCTTACATCTGCTGTGAAAAACTCAAATATTCAACTCGATAACATTATCGATGATACTGAGGCTGTTGTTGCTCATTATGCGGCCACAAAGTACACAACATTCGTCGAATCCCAGAAGAATGTTCTTTTCGTCGATATTGGCGCGACATCTGTTAAAGCTTACGGATTTACATTCCAATATGATACAAATCACATGTATGCTAACCAATCATCCTACAACTACACAGAGCTTTCCGGAAGCTATTACTTTGCCGAAGCCATTTCCCAGGCAAAGAATATCTCAATGAACAAAGCTCGCAAGATTCTCAACCAGCCAACCTCTGCTTCTTATATCAAATTGATTGAGGAGCCAATTTCCATTATGGAAGCTACAATCGAGTCCGTTGCTAAGGAATTCAAAGCTAAATTACAAGAATATCCAATTGGCGAGAATTCACGCGAAATCGATGAAGTTCAAGTCATTGGTGGTGCTTCTCGCTTTGATTTCATCAACAACGTTGTCTCAAAGGCTTCAGGAGTTAAAACAATTCTCCATGAGTTCAATCCATCCGAAATGATTGCTATCGGTGTCGTTTACTATCGTTCCATGTTCGAGGAGATCATCCCAATCCCACGTGTTATTGTTAATAAGATGCAAATCAGAGATGTCGAACTTGCTGCCGACCAAACACACGTTAAATACTGCACAAGAGGCAGTGGATGCCTTCCAGAGCTCATTGTCAACACTTCCAAGTGCGAATTAGTTGATGTCGTAATTCCACCTGAATATTGCCCAGAAGGAGTCTATCCATACGAAATGCGTTTGAAGCTTACCAATCAGAACACATTTAAGACACCACTCTTCGGCAAAGCATATGGAAAATTCACAATGAACCCACCTTATCCAGAAGTTTCCAACATTGAATGGTGCCTCCACGGAAAGGATGATTCCTGCAAGTACATGACAGCCGATAGAAACGAGGACTTCCCTTATTTCTCAAGACAATCAATTAATTTCACAATTGTTGCTCTTAATGAGATTGATGCTGAATCGAAGCGCCGCCATGAGGTAAACAAGGTCATTGAATTCATTTCCAACGTAAAGAACCAACTTGAAATGGATCTTGACGCTAAAGGACTTACAATTGAATCTCTTCCACAAGATTTGTACTCCGGATTCAAGAAATACGTCTTAGCAATGGAGGATGGATCAATTACACAGCGTTCTATCTCTTCTTTACAAGACGCTTTGACTGACCTCAAGATCAGCACTAAATACCTTCTCGAAGCTGTTCAAAAGATGAAGAACCACAGAAAACCAAAGAAGGACGACATTTTCGAGGATTTGAAGTCTGATATTGAAGGAGAAACAAAGGAAGAGGAAAAACCAAAGGAAGAGGAAAAGCCAAAGGAAGAGGAGAAGAAGGAAGAAGAGAAGCCAAAGGAGGAAGCTAAGACGGATTTATAAAAAATAATAAATAATTTTTTTTAGTCATAGTAAATTTTGAAATTTGTTTTAGCAATGACGATATCCTTAATCTTTTTCTGATGAAACGTCAAAAAAATTCATCAAAATTGAAAATAATCATCGAAATTTTTTAGTAAATAGCAATTAAAAGCTAAAAAGCAACACCACATTGAGATTATATCAATATATCCCATTGATAAATGTTTGAAAATTATGTATCAATCATTCAAAAGACGATCTTTAGCTTAAATAATGAAATTAACAAGGAAAAACTGGTGAAATGTATTTGTTATGATGGAGAAGACCATTTTATATCATCAATTCAACAAAAGATAATATTTTGAAATAGGCAAATGAGGATGATACAGAATAGAATAGAGATCATCAAGAATATCATTGATATATTTTCTAAAATGGTCATTCTTATTGATTAATTCATCTGTTCACTGTTATTCTAGATTTTGTTTCAAGATTTTCTATGATGCCACAATTTGAAGGTCCGTACGGTAACACAATATCCTATATGTTGATCACCTAAAACATTGATCATGCTAAAATGCGGAAATTATGAAATCTCCATAAATGCTTTCAAATTATAAGAAAAACCGTTATTTGCTAATTATAGCATAATTGAAATGCGTACAAATATGTTATGCAATATCCAAAAATAAAAGCTGTAAATTCTTTCCAGAAAAAATTCAAAGATTTTGGATGAATTTTTATAAATTAAATTTTTATTAGTGACATATATACTCATCAAATTAATTGATGACCACAATATCTATCAATTTTTGAATGTGATAATTGAATGGAGTTCAAAAGTTGATTTTAACAGCTTTCAAATTTTTGGAATCGAAGAATTCTGTCTCTATACTAATTCTCTAATAGAATTTAAGGGTTTCGTTTTGCTAAAATTGTCACTTTTATAGCATATTTGTTTTTGGATGTTTTGCGAAACCAAAAAAAAAACTATGATATACAATGTGTGTGTAAAGAAAATACTTTATTTACTAGTTAAAAAATCATTTGGTATTGATCAAGTTATTTTTTCTGGATAAGATATTATATGGATAATTGGATAGAAAATACAATTATATAATCTTGTACCTGGTTTAATTAAGCTAATTGTCATCAGAAACTTGTAATTTTTATGAATTTCAGATTTTCTTTTCATTACTGCTTTTCTTAATAGGTCAAGTTCTTATTTACGTTATAAAGTATGATATTTACAAATATCAAGTTATCATGTTTTTTGAGAAATTATGAGAAACAAACAAAAATGAAAAAGATAGGAATAGCAATGAATAGTGATGTGGGTATAGAAAATGTAAGAGATATGAATGCAAAGCAATCAGTATTTAGGACATTGACCATAGATTTCGAAAAAAAAATGCTGCATATTGAGCGAAAACTATGATTATATTATAAGGCTGTCATTTAAAGCATAATGAAACTATTCCCTTTTCATTTTAATCGAATAAGATAGTAAAGATTTTTGAATTAGCTAGAAACTGATGAGATGTTTTCACAAATCAGATTTTTAATCTCTATAATGCATAATTCACTCAATATCTCAATTTTGATATTGCGAGATATTTTTGCTATCGGTTTCGCAATTTTGACACAATAGCAAGAGGGTTCTATAAGCATTATTATCAACGTAGAATCTGAATATCATATCAGAAAATGTCGCAAATCTGACATTTACCCGACCAAATAGCAAAAATAATTGAATACTTTTCGCAAAAACTTTATAAATCGATAAAAATACGAAATATAGATATTAAAGAGACTTTTTATATAATATTCATAAAGATTTTCCAAAAATATGATACCGCAAAATTAAAAAAGTGACGTCTTGAGTGGAGTCAAAGGTCGAAATTGCTAGCTAAATGTTTTTTTTTAGCGAAATTGCGTATTGTACGTTTTTTTCGCAAAACGAAACCCTTATAGAATTTTAAAAACTAAAACTTTCGAAATTGAAAGGCATTATTCCCTAAGACTATTCAAAATCGATCATTCCCATCTAGTGTCATTTTTTATTATTAAAATATTATAACATTATCTGTTTAAAGACATTTTTCTTTCTCCGTAAGTAATTCAAATTCCAATACAGTTTCAAATTTTGCTTGACATACTTTCAAAAACATAACTAATGCAATGTTGCATATCTAGCCAAATATAGTATGATATCAAACTATTGATTTGAAGCCATATTCATTTTACTGATGTTTGAGAGACATCAGATTTTCAGATAGCTCATTGAATAAAATATCTGGATAAAAAATTTTGCTTACGCGATTCTTTGCAATATTGTTTTATATTGATTTCTGGTTCTGCGTTCGATTTATATTGTAAATTTTTTTGAAAAGAAAATTCAATGATGATTAAAATTTCTGTGTCGTTTGTTCCTTCAATGAATCGCGTCTCAATTCCTCGAAAGTTCATTTTACTTGATGTCGCCTGTTGGTAAGCCACACCCAAAGGATAAATTCACACCAGCTGAAGATGAAAAGCTCAGAGTTCTTGTCCAAGTTCTTGGTTTGTCTAACTGGAAGAAAGTTAGTGAGTACATGGGAACAAGAAATGCTCGTCAGTGCAGAGATCGTTATAAAAACTATCTTGCACCATACCTTAACAGTAGCCCATGGAGTAAAGTAGATGATGAAAAGCTTATTAATCTTGTGAACCAGCATGGTCACAAATGGTCATTGATTGCTAAACAGTTCAGTGGTCGTACAGATATTAATATTAAAAGCCGCTATGCTCTTCTTATGCGCCAGAAAGAGAGAAACAGACAAAAACAAGAATCAGAACCAGAATATATTCAAGAGAACGAACAGATGCCTATTGTTCCACAATCTACTACAGAAGATTTATCACAGCAGCCAATATTTGATGATTGCGCTGATCTTTTTGATTTCGATATTTCGGAATCATTCGATTTCACTATGTGAAATTTGTTATATTAATAAATTGTTTTCTATCTATCCCTAATTATTAGATTATTTTTAATCTTCTAAGTTTTGCCAAAAAAGTTGAAAAATGATCATTTAGAAAATGTCTTTAAATGATATCACTAGAATTTCACCCTAATAGTAGTTAATTTTTCATTGCCATATCAGCTTGTTTACGCTTAAATTTTCTAATTTTGTTAAATTTCAAATCTAATTTCAGATTTGTGATATAATTGTCACGCATAATGCTCAATATTCATAGCTAATTATATATTCTTTCCGATCAATAAGTAATAAACTCCAAAATATCACTTCCTTTTCCCCTCCCTTTCAATGAAATTGAAAGAACTTTGGAGGAGTATATATTATGGTCCCAAAATCTCAGTAGTGAGTTGAATTGCCTCTCAACTCCGATTTTGTGGGGACTATATTTACATGTTTAATAGGGACGATTGCAAAAAGTCCATTAGCATATAATATAATGCTTATATTTAGTAAAATAAATTTACATTTCAAGGCTAGATTTCGAGAAAAATCGAAATCGTGATTTTTTGGGCGGCAATAATATTTATCACTATATATATAGTATCAAAATAATATATTATTGTGTATTCAGAAATATTTCGCAATATCTTGCATGAAATATTGTTTGGTACCATTTTTAATTGAATGAAACTTAGCGGTCATTCAATTTATTGTGTTGATGATTCAAAAATTTTGAGAAAGTACATCTGAATTAATCCAATATACATACAGAGTGTGTGAAATATGTTTCTCAATGATTATACAAGTATTTTCTGGAAATAAACGTCTTTGCTATCATAAAAATAAGGCGACCCACTCTTGAACCGCTGTCAATATGAAATTATACATAACAGTCTTGTTGGACTTAAATGTACTTTTTCTCTATGATAGAATTGATATTTTTATGAATAAACTTAAATATAACATACACTGATCAAAATCTAAAAACTCAGGGGGTAAATAACGGATTTTTTTTGGAAACTAGGGCGGTGATACCTTAAATGATGTAATATTATTGTCACTTTTTCCACAAAAAAGCAATACAACCAAAACTTTTGGAAAGCATGTTAAACTCTAAGCAATCTGAAAATGAAATTGGATGTGATTTTGGTAGCATTAAGCCATTTGAAGTATTTGAATACCCTAATCAAGCATCAAAAATGATTTGGAGTGTCAATTCCAATAATTTTTTACAAGTATCTTCGCAAATTATAGAATTCATTACAAACAAAAAATATCTATCCAAATGTCACTTCATTTGATTGATGTTATTTCACAAATTCATGTTAAAGAAATTAAATTATTATCAGAACTTTACCAAAAGATATTAAACGAATTCTCATGTATCATCAAACCAGAAAATGAGAAATTAGCAATGTTATTATATTGCAAATGTTCCGAATTTGAATATCCAATAGAATCTCCATTATACTATATTTTATGTGATAAAGTTGATGAACTTAAATCTAAATTCCCAAATCTTGATATTAATAAGAGAATTAAAGATATCACACCACTTGACTGTGCAATTAAATACGGATCAGAATTGTGTTTCAATTACTTGAAAAATTTAGGAGCTGAATACACCGATAACTCCGAAAAATATGCTGTTCAAGGCGGAAATAATACAATTTTTATGCAAATGATAGAAGAAGGTAAATCATTTCGTGACATGATTAATACTTCATTGAATTATCGAAACTATGAAATTGCTGAGTACCTTAAATCAAATTTAGGACAATTTCCCAATTCAATAACCGAATGTATGCATTTCGGAAATTATGATGTTGCATCTTATTTAATTGCTAATGGAGAAGATATTAACAAACTCTATAATCTTTTTATTTTCATTATTATCATTGTTTTATAATTCTATTTCTACTCATATTTATCATCTCCCTTATCGTTTATGTTATATTATCAGATAAAAAATTATTCTATTATGATTTAATAAAATGTTTAACATTGGTTTGTAGCGTTATAGTTAATGATAATGCTTTATTTTTTAGCTCATATTTTTTTAATAAAAATTATTTAGCATTAAGAGACATCTAGATTACAAAATAAACCAAGGAATATGTTTTACATACTAATTGTTTGCATTGAATGCAGCCAAAACACAATGCTTGTGATAAAATTTTAGATTATTCAATTCAAGATTGAGCAAAAACAGCATATCCGGACTTCATACTATGAGGTAATAGTGCCCTACATATGAGCATTTAATAGAACTCAAGTTGTATTTTTATGAAATTTTTCATGTTCGAAGCGCCAAAATCGCTTCGAAGTAAAGAAACATGATATGAAAGACGATACAGACCGTTTAAACAATCAAATTTATCAAATTTAATGGCCTAAATTCATGTTTGTAAACCTAGTCAGTTATTGCCATATTATAACAAAAAGATCATGCAATCTCATGCCAAATATTATGGGTATGAAACATCACTATCATCGTGCTCTACATATATTTCAAAATACTGTGAATTAAATTCATATGTCAATAAACTATTGATTTTATAATAGTTTACAGTAAGAAATGACTCACATATAAGATTTCAAAGCATCCATGAATGTTATGCTCTCCAAATAACTTCAAAAATATATCCTTATATCAAAGTGATTTTGATTGATTTGTAATTAATAAAGCTCATAGAAATATTTGAGCTTGTTGTAAAAGTGACAAATGTTTGAGATATTTTTCTTCTGGCTTGGTATTCTTGGAATTGTACATTCTTTAAATACAATCGTTCGTTTTATTCGAGGATATACCGGTAAGAAGCCAGATATTAAGAAGAAATATAACACAAATTGGGTTTTAATAACTGGAGCAAGCAGTGGAACAGGAAAGCACTTAGCGTTGAAGTTAGCAAAAGATGGTCTGAACATTGTTGGAACTGGTCGTGATACAACAAGGTTTAATTCTGTTGCCCAACAATGCAGATCACTTGGTGTTCAGTTTGAAACAGTTATTGCTGATTTTGCAAAGCCAGAGTCTGTTAATACCGTTGTCAAAGCAATGGAAGATAAGGATATTGGCGTTTACTTCCTTTGTGCCGGTTATGGAATGGTTGATGACTTCTTTAACTTTACTGAGAAGCAGCTTATCGATTTTATTGAATCTATGGTAATTTCCCAGACAATTCTTTACAAATACATCATTGAAAAGAGTAAGAAACGTAAATCAGAAACTCTTGTTTACGGAATCGCTTCATTAGCTGCTGAAGCTATTTTCGGAACAGGCCAGATGTACTGCACAGTAAAGAGCTACATGTCTTCAATGTTCAGACACCTTGAATTAGAAATGAGAAATGAAGCACCAAATATTCATTTCCAGGCCATCCATCCAGGACCTTTTGCTGGATCCATGTTCTTTAACAAAGTTCCGCAGTTTGTTCAGAATTTCATCGAAAAAACCCAAAAATTTTTACTGAAAGATGAAGATATCGCTGATATGATGCTTTATACAATGGGTAACGGCATACAAGTTGATGTCAGCTCTGCTTCTCTCTTCTCTTTATTCGGATATTGGCTTATCACCAAAGTTGGTCAAAACTTAGTTAATAGATTCTTTGTTTGGGCCAAAATGCACATGAAATAATGATATTTTCCATATTTTTTCGTATAAAATTATTTTTTTCAAAATTAACGTTTTTTTTAAATAGAAATGGAATGTTTACATAATACAAAAATAAATAGAATAATTTTCAGTCGCTGCTTGTGGATGTTTTTTCATCTTCCTCGTTATCATTTTCTGTTGTTGAAGAACTGATGGAACTCGATGGTTCCTCTTGTTCAGCTTCAGCTTCTTGCTCGTTTTGGCCTTCTTCTTCATTGAATTGTTGCTGATTATCTTGGTTTTCTTCTTGAGGAGGTTCAGAAACCTTCTCTGATGAAGAAGATGCAGTTATTTGGGTTTCCTGTTGCTTTGTCTTATTAGATTTTGGCTCTTCCATTGTTGGATTACTCAAATAATCCAAAAATTGCTGGGCACCACGTTCTATAGCAATTTGCTTAGCATTTTTGCCTTCTTCATTTTCGGATTCAACATTTGCTCCGTTCTGTAACAAGTAAATTGCGATATCTTCATGGTTATATTTGATAGCATCAGCCAAAGTATGATTTGCATCGACATCTATGCCAGCCTCTACCAGGGCCTTAACAATTTCAAGGTCTCCAACTTCAATGGCGAAGTTGAGGAAGGATTTATTTTGAATAATTACGTCAAGAGGGGGATGTGACTCAAGAATGCGGTTCAAGACGTGCATGTTTTGGATCTGGATGGCAAATACTAAAGGAGGGAGTCCGTTAATTGGCTTTTCGATGGAGATATTATCTGCATTGGCGCCGTGTTCAATTAAAATGCGCGAAATGTGCATATATTCCTTGCCAACTGTAAACTCGAGAATATCCTGGCCTTCGATCTTGGCTCCTGAGTCTGTAGCGCCATGATCTAACAAATACTTTGTAACTTCGGCTTTGTTGCTACGAACAGACTCCGCAAGAGCGTTTATGCCTTCATTGTTAATAACGTTAATATCCGCATTATTTTTAATGAGGTATTCAATTGTATCAAGATTATTTTTAGAAGAAGCCATGATTAATGCTGTATTTCCTTGGGCATCAACTGCATTAATATTTGCACCCTTGGAAAGTAAGATATCGGCTGCTTCAAACCTTAGATTTTCAATTGCCAAATGAAATGGCGTCTTTTTGTCTTTTCCTGGCATATCTACAGCAACACCAAACTCAATAAGCATATTAATGATGGTTTGTATGCCTACGGTTGCTGCTGCGTGCATAATCATGTTGCCTTCGCAATCTGTATCATTTAACGCGATTAATCCGAACAATTTGTTGAAAAATCCGAACATATTGTATCCGGTAAGTACGGCGATCCATGGAAAAGCTGTTACGTCCTTATAAGTCGTAAATTCGTATAATTCTGCGTTTCTGCAATAATGTCCCATAATTGTAACCATATCGATATTAATTTTAGGGAAATCCTTGCGTACTGTTGCGATTATTTCTGCGTTTCTGCCGACATAAGCCATGGTTGCAACCATTTGGTCAATTTTACACTTCTTTAGGAGATTGTTGAATATCCTGACAGCTCCGTAGCGAGCAGCACATGCGAGTAATGACATGTCGCCGACTGTGAAACGCTCAGGATTTTCAGCTTGAGGTAAAATCTTGAAATACGAGTAATCATCCTTCATGATTGTGTTTCTCACATCACCACCTGGGTAAAACTGCATCCTTCCCTTTTCGTTGTCGTCTTTATACTGTTCGTAAAGGCGTTGAAAAGTTGGAGTGAAACCGAGTGATTCGATTGGCTCAAGAATTCCAAGATTCTTGATGAGGGCGGATGTGAGCTTGATGTAGTATTTCAATTCTAATGGGTTCAATTCAGCAAAATACGAAATCATTTCGAAAGCTTCTTTATAAGTGTAAACGAATTCTTTGACCTTGTTCGTGAGATAGTTTATAGTGAAAATTGACAAACCATCATCAGCTTTGGCAAGTAAATCCGCTGTCTTAATATAATTCGTATAGATCTTTCCCATTGATTCTTTAACTAACGGATTTCTGCATCCACTTTGATATTTTGCGCAGTTTCGAAGAACCATTAGCCAATCATCTCTTTCTTCTAAAGATGGTGGGAAAATCTTATATTTTGTGTTTCTTTTACCTTCTATGAGAAACATTGGAAGACCTTCGGGCGTTTCCATGCTAATGAACTTTGTTTCGTCGTATATTGTAATTTCGCCTTTTAATTTACCTGCTTCGTCTGTATAATAAGAGAGTTTCTCTGGTGAGAGCTTTAAAAATCTATTTTTGATGTTTTTAACAAAGTGGCCTTCTTTTTTACACCATCCGCACTTCAAAACCTGCATTTTCTACAATTGAAATTTTTTGACAAGGCGTTTTCAAAGCAAAACTGATTTATCAATATGTGACATGCAAAGATAAAATAATCTACGAATCCTACATGAAAAATTCACAGGTGTTGATCAAATCAAATTTTGCCAATTTTGAGAAAGTTAAATAAAAATGTTTAACAAGGCTATGCATACAATAATTACAATTTGGTTGAGTGATTGAATTTGTGGCGTTCACAATTATCAGAGGTAGGGCAACGATAGGTCAAAAAGGCTTCTCTGATAGATTTCCTTGCCTTTTGGATATGCTATAATATATAGCCTAGCATGATAGGATATGATGTCCAAAGTTGGAACATAACTTAGGATCTTGAGAAAAATGAAAAACAAAAATTACATAAAAAAGAAAAATTTTATCTAATTTGTTTTTTTGGACCGAATAAGTAATTTTATTGAATTTCAATACGACACATAGATTTTATTATTAGTAATAAATATAATGGTTTACTACTAACAAGGAACCTAAACTAATGAAAATTTGATTTCAAATATTGTATATGATTATCATAGATTACCAAAATATATTGCTATTTATGAGGATATAATATTGATTATTAGTAAATCGTATAAATTTAATAAATATACCATGAATATTGAATGAATTTCTTGATTCATAGGGGTAAAACGCGCTTTTATATGATTTAGACAGAGAATTTATGAGATGTAAATAACACAATAAAGGTTTATATTGAATATTTTCTAAAAATAAATCGAAATTATAAAAAACAATACATTTATTCATTGAAACTACTTGGACAAACATGAAACAAGCATTCAGGCAATACTTTTGAGACTTCAACGCATCTGATAATTTTTATATAACTTCACCTCTTATGCTTAGAGTGGAGGTATTGAGATCGTATAAGTATAGATGAGCTCACATTCAGATATGATGTGTGAACTTCTGTTTTCACTGCAATTTTGAATCAGAATAAACTCAAAACAAGAATAAAATGATATACTCACTCTCTAAATGTGTTCGAGATTTAAAGTTGTATGAATAAAACGATTCATCTTTCGAAGCCTCCCATTTAATGAGAGACTTCGAAAGAGAATGTATTCATGTAGATGAAAACTATATATGACCATGTGTGATACTAAAGATATCAAAATGTTCATTTTTAAGTGCAATAGAAGGGTTATCTCTCGTAAAATCTCAATTTAAGGAAGATTTAGAAAGAACTCCTTTCCTAAGTAGATAGTGTGTGGTTTCTGTCTTTTGGTTGATCAGGAACTATGAAATTAAGTCGGACAGAAAGAAGTTCTTTCCAAAACAGACTCCAAATGAGTTGTTCGAAAAGAACTTCCTTCTGTATATGGATAATTGTAGTTACCGCACTGAAGTATGTGATTGTGATGATGGAGTTCTCGATAAATCTAAAATCGGATTAAGATTAATTAAAACTCAAGTAATTCTTTGAAATCTTGTGTTGTCTGGCATATAATAACCAAAGAATGAGAATATTATGTTGAATGATGAGTACGTGTGCTCGGCATTCGCCGAGCGAATTGAGTTTAACGTACTATGAAAAGTGATAAATTTGGGCTTTTTTTCCTAGGGTTATGATCTCTTCCTTTCTGCTCAATACGACAGAAATGAAAGAATGAATTTTGTACTCCCTAATTGATTACTACAATCTGTATCTATCTTTAACATAGAATTAGCTGCATTGTGATTTATACTCCAGAATTATTCAATTTAAGATCAACTCGTAAATTTTAATCATATTGCACCAATACTCCTACGTTGAGATAAGAACATGATATACATACCAAAGCCCATATTAAAAATCAAAATTTAGCACCTCCCATTATGCAACCACATTATTCGTCGCAAATAAGTATATTACGCATATTATGATGCATATTCACACAACTCGTATACATGAAAAGTTATTAAAATCAGACAAAATTATTGCAATAAGGAAAAAAAAACAACTTTATTATATATGTTAGTAATGAATTACAAATATTTCTACAAAGAATGCTCAATACTTCATATAATCTTCGAATATTTCTTATTACAAGTTAATACATTTTGACTCGAACATGATAAACAAAAGCTGACACGCTGATTACTACATTTATGAAAATATAGTACGTTTCCATTCATCTGTTTACGTGTTTTTGTTGGAATAAAATATTTTTTTTTCTTTCATGAAATAAGAATTTTGCTGCGAAAGCAATATCTCTAACAATAATTAATACATTACGTCAACTCTGGAATGAGTATTTATCAAATATGATATCAAAATCAAAAATTAGTTGTTTTTTATGAGTAAAAACGATGTAAATTGATTATTTGACTAATTATCAAATACTTGATTTTCCAAATTTTTTTCGAAATGATTTTTTCATGTGAAATTCAAATTGTTTAATTTCATTTTTGAAATTTTGAGTTGATCAATTCAGCAGAATTGATAATTATTGCTTTAGGCATACCACAAGGTGATGAATAAAAGGTGAACATTAACAAATTATTTTAAATCACAAATATCATCCTCATCAACTTTAATTCTAAAAAGAACTGTACTGAATTATGAAAATGCATGATTTACATTATTAAATCTTTGAATGAAAATAGTACAAGATAAGTTTTATTCATTTTTAATTAGATTTAAACAAAAAACTACTCCATATTAAAATTTAAGTCGAGAAATCGTATTTTGTTCTTATTTGTTAGCATTTTGTAGACATTCTAATCTTGAATAATTTGTTACATGATATTATTAACAAATTTAACTGAAAAAATATGTTAATATGGAATAAACCATGATTATATAAGCTATCAATGCTATATATACATATGTAAAAGATTCATATTAACTCAATTAACAAAAATGATAGATTTTCATAAAGGTTCAATCTAGGTTCGTCCGAAAATTTTGATTTTTATATAGAAGACATAGTTTCATATACATAATTAAATTTCAAACAAATTTGATCATACCATTTTTAAGCAGGATAGTATATTAATTACTATCAGTATAAAAATATAAAATGATTATATTTAATTATTGCATAATTTAGTCAAAGAGTTATAAGCCTCAAGTGATCGTTATCACCTTCAATGCACGTATACTTTATTGATTCATAGATATTTAATCTATGTTTGACATGTTGTTGTCGTCATTCGTTTTGTTCCATTCTTCCTAAGTTAGAATTAGAGAATACACCATCCACATCATCTAATTTGGTCCTCAGCGATAGATTGGTTCATTTTGGAGGAGTCCCATCAGACAGTTTTCGAGCACCAAATATCAAATTTTAATGTATACAAATCTTTAGTGATTTATCTCTTTTATGATGAGTAAAAGGTTTCTGCTCATCAACATTTGATTTCCGACATATATGATTTCTAATTGCAATTATTTACTTTCTTTTTATAATCTAACTCTGTGACTCATACCATAAATTAATTATTGGAAAGTGTCAATATGTTTGGCACAACGCATGGCGGAAGATACCAAACCATGCAGGGAATATGATACGTTTAAGATCTCCGAAGTTTTTTTCCAAAAATTTTCTATCGTTGCCCTACCTCTCAATTATCCAAACCATCAACAGCCTCATCGGAATATAAAATTCATGCTTGATTTTATGTGGACAATAATTTTTTAAGATTGAAACATAATTAACTATGATGAATTTATCACATTATTTAAAAACAAAGATAGATCGAAAGCTAATATTACATATCAAATAATCCATGAGAAGGGATGCTAATCACAGATTGTCTGATGTCCGGTTCAACTTTTTTGAATCAAAAGATTTCGAGGAAAAAGCTTATCCTTATGTAATTACAAGTATTAGTGTTGGGTCTAGAAAATAATTGGTTTTGGCTAATAGTTCATGTTGCTCATTTGCTTTTCTCTATGATATCTTGCTAATTTCGAAGAATACTGATGTTAGTGACCATTTATGCTTAAAAACCCTAATGCACACAATATAAATCGGTATTGCTAAAGAAGATAAGCTCCGCTTATTAACAACGCAATGTTCGAAAAGAAATTCATATTCAGTGCGTGGTAGTAGAATAACAAATTTTCCATAGTTTTTAAAAACAATTTCTCACAGTTATTTCCAAATTAATTAGCTTATAAGATATAAAATTGATCAAAACTTATGAATTCTTAAGAGTTAATATGAAGAATCTTCATCTCTAAAGATGAGCTCTCTAATACTACTAGTTCTGGTAAATCAGCCAAAATTCGTTTCTCTAAACTCCTAAACGTTTGTAAACTGTAGAAGAAAAAAAAAAGGATAAAAAAAATGATTGGAGGTGTGATACATCCACGCACACCATACAATTCTGTTGAATGTTTAGCGCAAATGATTGTTAGAGTCAAGCCGATTATGGATAAGATAACAAGAAAGATCGAAAAAGGTTTTGGTGACCAAATTTTGAATATTATTCAAGATATTCGTGTGCAAATGGAAGATTGCAATGAAGATATTAATTCAGATACTCTCAATCGTGAAATTTCTCCACGTGTTGGGCGAAGTTATTCATTATTTGACGCATACGAGATCTTGGCATACAAAGTATCAATGGCGCTCAATGATAATGTTGTTCCAAACTTTATGCCATACTTTTATGTTCATTTTGAAGATACTGTTTTACCATATCTCACAGTTCAAATTAACGAAGAAGAATTTCTCGACGATATTCTCAAAAGAGATCTTAAATCACAAAACAAGAAGCTTAGAAATTTCGGAGACCTATCAATTCCTACACAATTAGTTTTTATTAAAATCGAGAGACAAGATTCAGTGACAACACCTCTTAAATTACGCCAATCACTCGATCTAACAGAATTTGGTGGTTCACAGTACCAATTATTCATGATTTGCAATACGAAAAATCCAGGAACAGATAATTCGATCATTATGTACTTAAGTGATCCAAAAGGATGGATTACAGTTGATCCTCTTGAAATAAACCCTGTTAATCAATTCACACTTGCAAAAGAAACTCGCCATACTTCAACTCCAACGATATTTGTTGGATATATCCAGGGAAAGTCAAACGTCGAGCTTTTCAGACCAGGCGCTCCACAGTCTATCAAGGGATCCTCCCACGGAGCAACATCATTTGTCAGACAACGCGAACTGGAAAGGGCAGAAAACGTAACTCTCGAAAGGCCACGAACATTGAACATAAATATCTTCGATCCTGCTAAAATGGCCGTCCAAAAGATGCCAGAAGTACAGTTCAGATCCACAGATGAATACAAGAACGCGATTAGATCGTTAAGGAACAATCTTGTAGCTAAAGGAAACAAGACATCAGAGATTTACTTCAGGAAAGATGAAAACAGTCCTTACGAACATCCTCCAATCGATATTCCAGAAGAAAATGCAGAATTAATTGGAGATATTACGGGATCTTTGGGATTTTTGAACGATTACATGAACATGAAGCCTATATCTGTCAGCCTCGTCAACCTTACGAAGCCAGATTTCTATAAAATCAAAGTTAATTTCGCTCCTTTCCAGAAAGTCTCAAATGTCAGGGAGTACGTCAACAGATGCCTTGCTACAGCTCTCAACCTCCCCCAAAAGAACAGAAATATCTTTTATTGGGATGGAGAAGCCTATCAAATTGCAGATGATGATGCAAAAATCGACTTTTATGAGAACAAAGAAGAAGCAGAGCCATTAGAATTTTATTTCACTACAGATAATAAGGTTCCTGATGGAGCTCACGTAATTCGCATCAGATTTGTTGATGTAAACCCAGCTTACACGGCCACTGATGCTCCATTCTCATTCAACCAGATCGAGACTGTTGATAAGTTAGTTAATTTCGCTCAAAAGAAATTCGGATTCCCAGATATAGATTTCTTTACATTCCAAGAGCAAGGACCGCAATTGTACATGTTCCCACAGATGTTGGCAAAGACAAGGGAAGGAAAGAAACTTAGCCCGATGATTTATTTCGAAGGAGTTAAATCTCCATTGTTTGCACAGTCAGCTTTGCATGTTCATCCTGATACAGCTGTTTTATCTTTCGTTTTGGCTGAAAACTTGAACCCTCTCCAGCTTACAAATGACGCTTTTAGACTTCCATTTGATGTTGCAGCTCCATACAAGGAAGTCAAAGCAAAACTGAGAAGAGTTTTGGAAGCAGACAAGCTCGATATTATTTATGTAGTTAACAATGGTGATAAAGTCAATTTAGCTGATGATATGGTTTGCAAGAGCATGACCAAAGGTGTTTTCTTTGTTAAGATAATTGAATAAAAGGTTATTATTTGTTGATGCAATAGTTATCATTAGTTTTTTAGTTTCATGATTTAATTTTCCCAAAAAATACGGTTAAATTGAAGTCTAACCAATTGGTTTAATTATCCTATGATAAAATGCTCCATTTCTCGAGAAATCTTATTACTTTTGAATAAAATTCAATGAAAAGTGTTAATCCTTATGGAATGGTCGATGAAATATCATTGAATTTTATCTCTAATAGCCATATTGTTTAGCATCTGTATTACAATCCTTTTCTGCTAAAGCGAATATAAAATTTTTAGTGAACGAATAGCAATTGAAAAAATTGGAGGAAAGAAAAATTTCAATGTACTCTTTCAAACTTGATTTGATATTAATTTGTGTTCCAAATGCATTGTTCATGTTTGCATTGTTATAGTTTATAAAATTTTCAATAAGGCTTCTAACATTTCTATTAATGTATACCAAATCAAGTGTATTCTATCAAAATCTTGAAAATGAAGACGATTTTTCCGATGATGAGGACATACTTATCAAGAAGAAGATGCTTCTTGCAAATATCCAAGATCAAAACCCTCATTTTATGCAAATTCAAAAATACGTTGAAAATTTCGTTAAAAATCAGTGTATATGCGTTAACAAATTATCAGAATTCGAAAGTGAATCAGAATACAAATATCTTCTTGGTGAAATCACAGGAGATTTTTATCTTTCGAATGTTCACCAATTTTTAGATCTTTTCAGTGATAATATGATAGAAAATCCATCATTAGCTAAATATTGGCATAAATTACTTGCTATGTTCATTCCACAAGTTTCTATAAATGATATCGAAGATTATGTCATTCCTTATTGCAGTGAAAACTATAAAAAGGAAGGTGTAGGTAGTATAATACTGAATGTACTTAATGTTGAAGGAATTTCGACAGATTTAATCATCCCTTTGTTATTCAAATTAAACGATTCCGAATTCGTTCAAGCATACACTACAATCTCATTTACATATCCTCATTTAACATTGAATTCATGTTCATTGTATCACAGATTAATTGACTCGAATGATCCGAGAATTTTAGTTGCAATTCGCCAAAAATTTTCAAAGAAACAAATAATTGAATACGGAACACAGGAGTTTGTTTTGAATAAGATAAGTAAAGAAAGAGCTTGGCAAGCACCAGGATTGAAATTCTTGCAAGCAACAGCTCAAGAGATTGGAAATATTGACGAAATTGGTTTGAAAATTTTTGATTTGTCAAATTCGTATTTGTTTGACATCAAAGAGGCAATGATTAACTATTTCCATCATTACTTGAACAGATTCAGTAACAATGCAATGAATTCTCTTGAGCACAAAAATTTCCTTCTGATGATATTTAATTTAGTTGAAGGAATCATTTGTCCTCAATATCTCACGAAAACTTTGGAAATTTTGTTGTTTTTCTTGAGAAAAAACAGAACTCAAGTGATCAATCTCTACTCAAAACACACAGAAACATTCAACAACTATGCTACTAAGTCAAAAGATAGCAGTGTTAAATCATTGGCTGAAAACATCTTAAAGACAATGAAAACCATTAAAAGAGAAAGTTGAATGAATAATTGATTCAAAAATTGACTTTTTGATTCAATCATTTATTACAGATTTGTTATTTATGAATAAAAGAAAATTCTCATTTGCGTTTATTATAACTTTATAGAATTGTTTAATTGAAAAAAACTAGAATTGATTCGCTGCGTATCTCATGCGACATTTGCACAATTTCATAAACAGTAACAAGAACCTTCTTCATTGTTTATGAAATTGAACATATTTTCAACTCTTCAATGTAATTTCATAAAAGCACTTTTCAAGTCTGATGAAATACAAAATTCTATAAAGGTGGGATTTCATTTTTCCTATTCTAAGAAAATATACTGATCAATTTTTCTAAATAAATAACATAACATTTTAATAAATAAAAATAAAAATAAAAATAATATTAACAAAATGTATCATGTGCATGACAAATAAATGAAGTTCCTGATAAAAGGATATCAGTTTGTTTGATCTGACTCTTAACTTCAATATCTGTTACATAGTTATTTTCGTATTTCTCCATTACAGCGAATCCCTGCATTGGAATACACATCAAAAGAGGAACTTTGACGAATCCTTCTTTTTCTTCTGTTTTCTCTGACGAAGTATAAGTCAAATAAATAATTGGAATCTTCATGAATGAAGGAGTCTTGTTGTTACTCTTTGCGAGGCATGAATTAGAAGCATCCCAATTGCCAGCCATTATAGCAATTCCTCTGATTCCAATTGATGATTCATGTGGTTTTTCAAAAACAAATGTTGACTTTAAGTTTTCTCTCAAAACTCCTCTTTGTATTGCGATTTCTGCAACGAAAGCCAACGCGAATTCCTTCATATTCCTGATGTATCTCGCATCTATTTCCTGAGGGATTGTTGATCCATTCATCCAGATCGTCAAATACTTCGATTTATCGAACAACATCAAAAAGAACTTTGAAATTGAAGAAGTTCCATTGAAACCAACAATCTTCTTCCATTTTGCTGGAACTTGTTGAAGCATGAAAGCGTTGAACACTTCCATGTTTCGCTTGTGTATTGCGTCTGTTATATCTCTTGATATAATCTGCGTTGCGTTGTTGAATTCGTGGATTTCGTAATCCAAAAACATTTGGAGAGGAGAATGAGGTTCGAAATTCTGAGTTATTGTTATCTGAGGAGGAACCATTGTTGAGATACTTTCCAAGTATGTTCTGACATCAGATGGAAGAGTGTTCACTGGTTTAGCCATTGCTGACAAGACTTTTGAGATCCAAACACTCATTCGCCAGTTAAACAATGGTTGTGATGACAAAGGATCGAATCCTAAAAATGTTGGATCACAAAAGATGTCGAGTTGTGAAACAAAATCTAAAAATTGTTGTTTGTCCCATTCGGCGTCAATTACAAATTTCTTTCCTCTGAAAGCGAATTCTTGTTCAAGCCACCTTGAATGGAAAATTCCTTCTTCGTTTGCATCGTGTTTCATTTGGTCAATCTTGTAAAGAGAAATGGAACAACTTAAGTCAGTGTGATAAACTGATCTCAAATTTTCCATTGGAAAATCTCTGTAAAGAGCGGAATCAACGAATTTGGATGTCTTCTGGAAGATCTGTGTCATCATGAATGGAGTAATTGGTAACATAGATGTAACTCCCAAAGGAACTGCAAAATTCCTTGCTCTTTCCAAAGCAAAATTAATTGCAATCGGGAACGAAATTCTCTTCATTAATTGAGGAGTTCCACTTCCACTTATCAAGTCCCAATGAGTATTGTAAATATTGTAAACAATGTGTCTTAATGATGGGAATTCATGGGCGAAAACAACATTAGATCCGACCAACAAACTGTTTGTCATTTCATCAAATGTTGTTGCTAGTATTATCAGTCTGAAATCTTTGTGTGGTTCTTTAAGAAGTTCAATAACAGACTGAATAATCGAAATGGAAAGAGGAGAAGCGGAATAATGCAAAATCAAGACCTTTCCTGTTTCTATTGCTTGTTTTGCAGCATCCAAAGCCAAATTCAAATAAGAAGAAGACATCGATGTTGGAATTTCCAAAAATGACTTCTGTTCTTGTTGCAAAAGCATCTCAACAATGTTTGATGCATAGTTATTAACGGAAGAACGAATAATTGTTGGAACTTTCGGATCATTATTCGCAAAGAACTTCAATTCTGGATTTGTTATGTAATTCTCGAAATCCTTTCCAAATATTCTAATCAGATATTGTCTGATGATTGGGAAAACTAAAGTTATATTCGCGAATCTCAATTTCTCCATTGGATCTCCCAAAGAAACTTCTGATTGTCTCATATCGCAAACATTATCTAATTCACTTCTTATGTGCATTAATATCTCTTCGAAACCACTGAATTGTTCTTCTGTGTGTGTTGACATAACAGCAGCGATAAACAAAGAAACATAAGCATCTTCCAAAGACATTTGTGGAGTTACATATGAAATTAATTGATGCAAAATGTGTGTGAATATTTCATCACTATTTGCATTGAGTTTACATGTTTTCAACGCTGTATCCAACATCTGGAAATACTTTCTAATGTTGAAACCATGGTTTTTGTTTGCTCGAGATGAAAACCTTGAAATAGAAACCCACATTGATGTGCAAAGTTTCACTCCTTTTCCAATTAATGTCATTAACTCTGCGATTTCTTTTTCTATTGATTCGAAATCTGTTTTCGTTTCAAGAGAACTTAAGAAACATTCTTTGTTTCTTATCAATGATTCAATTGCTTCTTCATCTTCGAAGATATCTTCGTTGGAGCCTCCTTTCATCATACGAACTAAATCCATGATAGAATCAACGACATCATCCTCAAACATGATCTTTTCAACTCCTCTTTGCATTCTCAATCTCTCGATATTTATCATCCTTGGTAATTTCTCCGGGAAGAATCTTTTCACGAAATGTGCTGCAACAATTCTATTCAATGATTTGCCATATACAATGTTCATATTGATTATAGTAACTCTTGCAGCCAAATCGCTTGGAACGTTGTTCAAAGATTCAATGGACGAAGTCATGTAAAGTTTAAATTTCTGATGAACATTTACAATTTTTCCTGCATAAGTGAAAGGAGTTGTTTGTTGATCAGTTCTTCTTGCAGGTAATTGTAGAAGAGTAAACAAACTTGGCCCCATGAAATTGACATCGTACAACAACAGTTTCTTTCCATTTTCGAGGCATTCAACAATTATGTTGTCAATATTTGATGACATCAAACTTGCTGTGACTAATCTCTTCGGTTTAGTGTGTTCTACAAGGAAATCATACATGAAACCATCACTATCTAATATAAGTGGTGGATTCTGTATCATTTGCATTCTTCTCCATCCTAATTCTGTTTCTATTGGAGTCAATTGATCGAAATTGAGTTTGTCGTATCTGTCTTCCAATCTCAACAAAGTAAACAAGTTTTCTATTGTTATCTCTTTGTTGTAAGAGATCTCGTTTGTATCGAAAATCTCCAATATCTCGTTTAGACACTGTTTTTGTTGTTCGACAGATAAAATTCCCCAATATTCGATCATTGTTGAATACAACAAAGAATTGGAGACGTTTTGTTGTATTTTCTCTTGGAACTCTTCATTATAGTTCAACCATCTGTCAATTAATTTGCTGCTCTGTGTATTAATCTGTTCCAAAATTTCGCATTTGGTTTTTACTTCGTTGTAAAGTTCTGAATTTTCTTCTCTTTCTTTTCTTGATTTTTCATGAGATTCCATATCTTTATCGATCTGTTCTGCAATAGCTGTGATTGACTCTTTCTCGATCTCATTGTCTGTGAGTGTTTTGTTCAATGTCGCCTGTTGTATATCGATTTCATTTTCTTTATCATGTAATTTTTGATCCAAAATTGCAGCGTCATAAACATCTTTGATCCAATTGAACAAAATAGGAAGAGCAGGATGTGCATTGGATAGTTCTTTCTCCATTGTGTCTAATTTGTCTATGTATGGCTGTGTGTCTTCAAGAGTTTTCGGTTTAAACATTGTTCCTTTGATTCTTGCCAAAACATTTGTCAAAAACTTTGGATCATTTATCATTCTGCGGCCATGAGGTTCGAATGCAGTGTTCTGTCCACTGAAAGATAGTATCGCTGACATCAAATAACCCAACGCTTTGTTTTTGGTTCCATCAATTAATCTGATTTCGTTCAAATTCTGCGGGGAAATGGAATTTACTCTTCCTCTATCTAGATCAACTTTGAGGTTCATATTGTTCAGTTGCTGTTTGAGTTTGTTGAGTTCGTTTGTCAAATTTTGTAATTTTTCTTTTTGTTCTTTTTCAATTTCATTAATTTTTGCAAGACGAACTCTTATTGTGTCTCTTTTCGCAACAAACGATTTCATGACTTCTTCGTCATCTTCATCAGGATCTTTAACAAGGTTTGTTAATGTTTTAAGTTTCGCTTTTACTTCCATTTCCATTTTATTTGTTATTGTGAAGAAATCAATTGCAGCAGAAATGTTGTCTTTTCTTTCTTCGATGTTTGACAATTCCTTACTGAAATAGCCCATGAATGTGTTAATAAAGCTGAAGAAATGAGGTATCTGAATTGCAGGACACATCGAAGAAATGTTGATGAAAATAGAAGCAATTGCTTGACTTGTTTTCGGAGGTAATTGCTTCGCTTGTTTAACAAATGTTGGATTATCCAAAGCATCTCTTGCGCAGATTTCTATTGCTTCCATGGATTCGATGGTCAGATACAATGATTCGAAATTCTTGTAATTAGTCATCCAACTTGAATTTGCTTGAATGACAAATTTCAATTTCATTCTCAAATCATTTCTGATCAAATTGTAGATCATGTAAGGTTGATCAATTAACTGTGGATGCTTTGCGGAGATCTTCAAGTAATAGTCCTTTCTAAAGTCTTCATTAATAAATGGTAAATAATCGTATTCATAAATTAAAGAACTCAAAAACTTGAAATCAAAATCATTCTCGGAATTCGCTCTCAAAAACACGCAAACTTTCTTGTTTTTCGTTAAAACTTTCATCAAAGCATCATTCATCATACTGACTAAATAGTTTCTGCGTCTTTCTGGATACTTCTCGTCTGATGGACTCCTTGGAGGAATGTGAACAAACTCAAATCCTTTTGTCGTCGCAGTGAAATAAGTCAAAACAAATTTTCCGTTTCCTGATGGATCAACAATCAAAATGTTTCTTCCTGGATAAGTCAGCATCCTCTGCAAGTAAACCCATTGTTCAATCAATGGCTTGAAGAAGTAAATCTTCGTTGTAAATGACACTTTCGAACTAAATTGTTGCAACAAAAATGTCAATTCTTCTCTGACTAAATGAACTTGTCTGAAACTGAACAAAGCAACTAACTTCTTTGTTTCTTCATCAACATCAATCTCAGGGTAATAAAGATTAGGTCCAACAACAACAGGATCATAAACCATTCTGATATCAGCATCAGTGAAAACGTTCAAAACTAAAACAGAGAAATTAAAAATTTCATCTTGTGTCAAGAGTTTGTGAGTGTACAAAGTTTTCAGTTCGAATAAGAAAGCTTTGACACACTCCAAAAAATCATTTCTTGTTGGAGCAGATCTGTAACTCAATATAGTAAAGATATCCAAAGTGTGGAGCCAATTAAATCCATACAAAGGCTTCTGAGAAAGAGTTTCCGCAATCTTAAATCCAGGTTCATATAATAATTTGTTGATTGACAACTTTTGAGCAACTTTGTAGTAGATGTATTGCATGGAATGATGTGTTTGTGGTAATAGTTTCATTATGTAGAACATTGAAGAAAATCGTGGTTCGAAATGTTCAAAATTATTCGTTGTAACAACAACAATGAAATTCTTCAAAGGAATCATTTCCATGTAGTTTGGATCAATATCAGAATGAAGAGTTATCGATTTCTTCGTGATAATTGATCTGATAAACTCTATTGCATGTATGTATTTATGAGAGACATTCTTAAATATCAATACATAATGGAGATTTCCTAATGGTTTTGAGCCTGGTTTCGATGCAACAGGGGTATGATTTATGATGAATTTAGCTAATGTTGTTGCATTAGATGAAGCACAAACAGGAATGAAAATAGGAATCATATCATTTTTGTCTTTAAATATGTATTTCAAACAGTTTGTTTTTCCTGAGTTCTGTTGGCCAGTAATAATGAAATTACATTTCATTTTAAGTAGTTCATTTGCGATGTTGATTATTGGCAAAAACTGTGCTGTGCAAATAGAAATGTCATCAATTAATTCAAATGGTTGTTCTGTCATTGGCTTTTCTTTGATACAAGGTTCATTAAGAACTGCGAAATCCAATGGTTTCAGTGTTGTTCCATCAAATCTTGTTGAAATGAGTGATGGCCTTGGGAAAATGTCCCAGAAATGCTGTGGAACTTCGAATCCAACCCAATCCGCAGGAATCTTGATCAAAAAGCTGTTGACTGCCCATGTGTCAAATGACAAAATTGCAGCTGAATCCAAAATAGGAATGAAAGCATGGAACAAACAATAGATCAATACAAACTTCGTGTGAGCATTTGTTGTATCATTTGTATCTTCATTTAACAACAAAGCATGAATTAAACCATTGAAAGGTAATAAATTACATATCAAAGATTGAGCTTTTGAATTAAAAACTTGGCTTTGATATGAATAAATTGTGTTTGGAACATTCAACAAGTATTTGATGATAATAGGACAAATCTCATTGAACTGGGCCTTGATTTGTCTTAAAACTGCCAAAGAAAGGTTTGTTTCTGTCTTATCAACAGCTCTATTGAAAATAATGTCTCCGTTGAAAGAAGAACAACCTTTGTATTGACTTAATGGTTCATTCAAATGAACAGAATGTGTGTGAATCACACTTGATATGCCAATAACACTTGGATCAAGTAAACTAATATCTTCTGTCTCTAATATGAAATGCATATGTGATCTTTCATCATAAATATTCATTGTATTTATGATTAATCTCGATGAATCACCACTTGAAAGCATTTCTCTGATGAATCTGACAGCGGATTTATTCAAAGGACCATTAAACCTTATGAACTTCTCACAGTTATTTAATGATTGTATGTAATTAAAGTAGGAATGAAGAAGTCCATATTTAGTTACAGGTCCTTTATCAGACATTACAGAAACACCATAAAAGTTCGTGTTTGTTTCACTTCTGAAGAAAATGTCGAAAAATTGGAAAGGAAGCAAATCTGGATATTTTTCTTTGTATTTCGGAGTGGAACACATCTTTGAAATTGCTTTCTCTATCAAGTCTTGTATTGTTGTCTTTCCTGTTTGTGGACCACCAACAATAATTACACATAAATTCTTTTTAAGGGATTCCAAAAATTCTTTGATTGGATCGAGATAAATAACTTGGTAATTATCTTTGTTATCTGATTCAATTACTTCTAGTACATCATTAATGAACTCATCAACTGAATGTTCTTCCATTTCATCAATCTTTGATGTCATTTCATAAGCGTTTTTATAAATTCTGAAATGAGAATGCATTATATCAATGAAGAAATTCTCATGATGATGCTGTAACTGAGGGAAATACTTTGTCTTAAGTATAGTTATGATTGACAATGTTTCTGCATTAAAGATCTCTTCATTCGTCAAATCATCGCTTCCTTTGTTTTTAAGTAAATCTGACATCAAAAGTGACAAAATTTTTGTTGATTTTTTGAGAATTTCAGCAATAATTGTTCCGATTGGTCCATGGAAAATGTATCCGAATAAACTGAACAACAATTGCAAAAAGTCAACAGTCTGGCTTGATAATGATTGTGCATTCAAGTATCCACTTGCTAAGAATTGAACAAAAGCAATTTTCTTCGAATCTGGCATTGAAAAAGCAACTGGTTGCAAAACAGCTTTGAGATTATCAGGGATTCTTTCGCTTTCATAGTAATTTGAAGAGCCAACGAATATCAATCTGCAGTTGTCCTTTACACTTATTGTATTGGAACTTATTTCTAGTGTTGGACTGTTCTCTATCAAAGCATTTTTGTATTTTTGCATCAATAAAGTAATATTTGACAAATTTGTCATGTCAGCGCAATCAATGTTATTCATCACGAGCCAAGCGCCTGATCCAATTGCTCCTGTGAAAAGTTTAGTGTATAAGACGGAGTCGATATCTGTGAATGTTGGTCCGAACACAACAAACCTTCCAAACAAAGAAGCGACATTTGAAATCAACCGCTTTTTGCCAATTGAACTTTCACCATATAAAATTGGATAGTGGTTCATTGCTATGTTTGAAATGATGTTTTTCATGGCGATTTCGGATTGTGGAGACTGAATCAACTGCTTCGATGATCCCCAGAATTCATATCCGAACTCGAGTGATGTATCTCCATATTCTATACTGATTTGTGACGTTGTTTGGTTCCTTGTCATGTGCATCAAAGTATTCCAATAATCTTTTTGAGAAAAGTTCTTTCTTCTAATGGACATCAAGTCAACTTTATCTCTCTGATAGCTCATCATCACAATAGTGTTGCTCACTTTGTTGGCGACATCTGGTGCTAAATTAGTTCTCAATAAATCATTCAATTTTTGAATTTTGTTCTCAATATTTTGAGAATAGTCCTCAAAAGTGTGAACGTTATTCTCAAAATTGTCAAAACATTCTGAGATATCTCTTGTAAACATTATCTGCATTGTCAGCATAGAAATGAATTTGGGAACACTGGAGAGCCAACCAACGAAATCTCCTTGGTTATACTTGTAAATTGAGTCAGAAACATGAGTCATTATTGATTGTTTCATTACTTCCAAAATTGTTGGTCCCCAAGACTCAATTGATCCTCCCAAGATGATATTTCTTGTGAAGATCAATGTGTTATTGAATTTTCCACTCATTCCGTATAATTTTATTCTTTGGAAATTCTGAGTGTGGAAATTATTTTGCAAATTCATTTCTGTTTCATCTAAAGGATGATGTTCGAATCTCACGATATGCATGAACATCTTACTCAATAATGCATTCATCTGGTCGAAATCAGCTGTTGAGAAAATCATCAAGACATCGAAATCCGATAAGAAAAACAATCTCGGGAAATTGACTCTTTTGATGTCAATTTTCTTCAAAACTTGAGAACAAATTTCTTCCAAATAATTATTGTTTTCAATTAATATCTCCAACAAAGATGGTAAAGAACAGACTTGGTACAAAGTTGTATTCTCATTCGTGTGCTGAATAATCTGCATCCATCTTCTCCTGACTATTGCAAATCTGTTTGCTTCGGCGGGCATCACAGTTGAAGTGTTTTCTGATGCAAAGAAAGATGCCAAAACAACCCATGAACTCTGGAATCTACTCCAAGCGTCTAATATCTTGTTGTAGTTATCTAACTGGTTCGCGAGTTCGTTTATTTGTGCCCTCAAGCCTTGAGCGAAAGGAACACTGATCATTCTGTGTAATTCCATTTGTGAATCAGCGATTTGCAAATACAAATCTTTCAAATCTCCCAACAAAAGTGAATCTTCTGTTTTGATTTGGCTTTCGAGCAAAGGTAGTTTGATTTCTTTCCATTTGCTTGCCAACTCTTGGAACTCTGCTTCTAGTCTTGATTCGCCCAAAGAAAGAGAAGTTATCTCTATAACTTTTTCTCTGTTTTGCAAAATTCCTAAAGAAATCAATTCATCGATTCTTATCTGGTTTGAATAACCTTTTGATTGGCCACAATCTTCGAACAGTTTCGTCCAATGGTGGAAATGCATCTTTGAGTTCGATAACATGTCTAATTCATCAATATATTGCATTAATTGTTTCACTTTTTCATCAACTAAATTCAATAGTTTATTTTCGGTTTGATTTGAATCTTTCAAAGAATTTATTGCGTTGTTTATTGAATTTAATTGAATTGTGAATTCACTTATATTGATGTCACTGAAAGGCTGACTCAATACTTCACTTGAAAGTATTGTCCATTGGTTGGTGATGTTATAAACTTGTATATCAAAATCGCAGTTCAATCTTAATTGGTCGTATGAACTCAAATCTTGAATATTTGCTTTCATAACATCCTGGCAATGTTCTAAGATGTCTATTTCAGGTTGTATAGCATCTATCTTGCTTTTCAAGTCCATGATAGTCTTAAGACCTTCATTGACATCTTGTTTTGATAATCCAGAAGGAATATTTTCGAGTTGTTGATGGAATTTGTTGATGTTATTTGTTTGTATTCCAACTCTTTTCGTTAATTCATCAACATATTTATGTCTGGCATTATCAATCATGTTCTTACCCATCTGTAATACTTGTTGGAAAACTTTATACGATGAATGCAATGGATTCCTCGTATGTTCACCAATATGTGAAGTGGCAAAATTTGTCATAATTTTATCCAACAAAGAATAAACGTCATCGATGTAAGAGATTTCCTGTTTTAGGAGTGGATTGATTTCAAGAATGAGGTTAAGGAACTCTGTGTTCTCAGCATATTGGAATAATGAGTTCGGCTCTCTCTTCAATCTTTTATTTGAAAAATTGAAAATTTTGTTGATTTTGTCAATTTTTTGTTCAATAAAATTCTGAAGAGCAACTTGAACTGCGTGTATTGATTTAGAAGGAATGGGAGCAAGTTCAGCCCTCAAATCCTTGGAATCAATAAAGATGGCTCCACGAACAGCACATGCCCTGAACTGGTTGATTCTTTGTTCTTCTTCTTTGAAATGATGAATGTCTTCCAAAATTTTGTTGAAATCAAAAACTAATTCCGAACTTGGATCGAAAACTAATTTGTTTATATCGCCATCGAAGTCATTCGCGAACGGGGAGAAGTCAAATGACCTGGATGTGCCTCCGCGAGCTGTAAAATAGTTGTCTGCACTCCAAATTTTGCCATGTTTGTAAAGTTGATAGAATTCAACGAACTTTTGTGATTGTTGCAAGGCATCTTCATAATCTGTTTCGATCTGTTCGAGAATTCTTTGTTCAATTTTAACGTATTCCGGATTTGAATCTGTACATTGCTTAAACTGAGGCATATTATCGTATAAATAGCCCAGATTTCCATTGGTTTTGCGTAAATGTTCCCTCAGTGACTGTTCTTTGATGATTCTTGGCAGAGTTTCAATTAGTTTAAAAGTATTATGCAAAGTATCACTGATTGCTTGCTTCAGTTCTTGCAGGGATGGCGTGAACTTAACTTTTCCTTCTTCATCAAACGAAACTGACACCAAAAAAACCGCAGATAATTCTTGTTTCACGTTTGACTCGGCTTCCTTCCAACATTTGAAGCAGGTGTTGGATAATGCCTCAATCATGATGTAATCGCATAGTCTGATGAAGTTTCCGAACTGATATAACTCTCGATTTACAATTGCGACTCTTCTTGCTTGTTCTGCTTGAACTTTCTCGTTAATAACCATCAGTTGGCCAAGAGTAGGAATAATATTCTTGTTCTTTTGGAATTCCGTGGAACTAACAGTTACTCTTTGAGGATCTTTTATATCTGCATCTAATTGAAGTAATTTATCTGTTACATTCTTGATATAATCACTGTATTGTTGGAATAGAATCTCAGAGTTTCGTTTGCAATCGTTTAAATAGTCTTGTAATACGTATTTCTTTTGAGATATCATACATAACAAATATTGATTGAGAATTTGGTCGCATGATGTTTCCATGATATTTAATAGATAACTGTAGAACTTATGATCATGAAATAGTACATGAGAAAGCACTTTTTCGCGGAATCTTGAAAATCTTTGATTTTGTATGAATCTTTTCCATAATCTGAATGATTTCCAGTATCGTATCTTTTCGAAAAATGCGAGTTTTCGTATCATATTGAAGATTGATGTTTCTTTGATCCAAATTTCGAGTGGAATTGTTTCTGAGCTTCCATCAGAGAATAAATGAGTAACGCCATTTGACGACATTGTGAAGTAGTCTTCAGTTATCTCATCATGCGTAATTTTGACAAGATCATAAGGATTAAAATTTAAATCGCTGCGAGGTTTTGCGTAATTTAAGTAAATGAAAAGGTGTCCACTACCATCTTTATGTTTAAAGAAGTAAGCTATTGGATCGTCGCCGAAGTTTAAAGTTGCTAATTCTTTCTGTTTTTCATCATCTAGTTCAGATTTCAACTCATTATCAGGTGCTAAGTTCGGTAGTTGGACTTTATTTGATATCCATGTTGGTACTGTTGTCAAAACATCTTGTTGTTTCTCATGAACAAATTTTGGACGAGTTAAATTGATTTTATTTGCATGATTTTTAATTGCTAGAAGTCCTGGTGATGAAAATGAAAGAGATGCATTAGTTTCTCCTTCACCAGGCTTATTGGCACTAAAATCTTCAGTTCTCTGATTCATTGAATCAAGGTCAAACATCGTTGGATCCTTCCTGACGTTGACTCTTGTATTTGCCCTGTTCTTTGGGATCAATGTTTGCTGAGAATTTGATAGATCCGAAGCTGGGCGAGAACTCATACAACAAAAATTTTATATCTATGAAAGATTTTAGCTCATTTTCAGACAATAGAAGATGTTTATAGACATTTAGAGTTAAAATATAATACATACTAGGATAATTCTATCATATTAAATATTCAAGCAATCTATAATGTGAGTTTTTCAAGATTATCAGATAATAACGTACACCATGACTATCGAATTTGGTCTTTTAATACATATGAATAAACTAGTTATCAGCAGTGTTTGTTGATACCATGATTAATATAGCTTAAATATACTAAAAATAATCAAGAAAAAATTGATTAAGAAATCATGGTATCATTTCTTATGATTTTATCCATTTAACCGATGAGTATTAGATTTGTAATATTAATAACAGGTGACAATTATAAAAATTGATTCTGATAAAATATTAGAGCGTTATGTAGATTGCTCCCATGCAACTAATCATTAATCTTGTTTTAAAACATTATGATATAGTAGAACAATCTATTTATACAAAAAATTCTAAAATTTGATAAAAAATAACAATTTCAAAAAGAAATGGAAATATTTTATATATAATAAACATATAAATTAAATAATAGCTACCTGGATAGTGTTATCTCTAACTTTGACCTCTTTTGTCTTCATTTGACCGAAATCAAGTTCGCATTTCTCAATAAACTCTTTCTGAAGATAAGCTTTTCCATCTTCAAGTTCTATACAGTTTACCAAGTACTCAGCATCATGGAAAGGTCTTCCCAGTACTCTACTTTTCTCTATTGTCTGTCTATTTGGCTGCAAAATGTGTATTTTATCTCCCAAACAAACAGCGAATCTTCCTGTCGGACATTTCTCTCTCATTTTCGTTACAAACTGGTAAATCTGGAGAGCTTTCTCTTTATCATTCAATGACATTGTATAAATCAAAGAACTAAATCTTCCGTCAGCCAAAATCAAGTCATTGATAGATTTCGATTCATTGTTAATTAAATCGTAATCATTTTTAGAAACGCCTTTAAAGAACATCAAAACAGCGTTTTCTACCAAAGGAGGTCTTTCTATTTTAGAGTTTTCTCTCAACAAATTAATGATATCTGTTCTTGACGAGATGATATCTCCTGACTCATCTTTCATGAAGAACTCTGTTGGTGTAGAGAAATAAGCCATGAAAGGTGAAGTTCCTCTTCCGTAAATTACATTTGTTGGAGTTCTATCTGCGAAGAAATGTTCCAAAGCTGTAGAACTCACACCGCAATTGACCAATATCTCTTTTAGATTGTCAATTGACTTTGGTTTTACACCTAATATCTTCACAGCGCAACCAATTGTTTCTGTAACTTCTCCATTCTGATTAAATCTCAATACTCCAAATAAATCATAAGAAGCAGTATCATTCCATAATTCTTTGACGTATTCTTTAACATCATTTGAATCTATTCTATCTCCTGTTATTAGTTTGGTGAAGATATAATTAGATCTTCCAATATGAACAGGAATAGCAAACAACAAATGTGAACTTTCCCAAAAAGTTCTCATCAACAATTTCAGTCTTTTCATGAATATATAAAAAGCAAATGAAGCAATATATGACATAATCAACATCATTATTCTCGACCATGAATCATCAGAACATTCAGAAACAATAGGAATCAATGGATGAACTTTTGCTCTCTCAAAGAAATGATGTGCGCATCTGACATCGTAAACATGTGGACATTTGTCCATCATGTTGTTGCAAAGCCTTGATTCCAATAGCATGTGTTCGTAATATGCCATGAAAGGTATTGTGATGTTCAATGGGTCGTCAGGAAGATTCTGTGATGTAATTGTGTCCTTTGCAATTGTTAATCTCTGAATTGACAATGCAATTGGAAGTAAAACCATTGCTAATGCAATTAACATAGAACTGACAAGTTTAAACACGGATTGTGGTTTGGGAGGTGCTAATGCAGGGTCTTTCGAGGAAAGAATGGTGTCGTATTGCTTCTCTAGCATTTTACGAACTGGATATTGTAAAGTACTGAAAACTAAAAACATGTCATTTTTCAGTTTGTAAAATATCCATCTCATGCAGAGATACATGACAAAGAAGGTCAGGCAGACAACAAGGAAGTGGATCTTCTGCGAATAGATGTGTTTGATGAAAACATTCGATGTTCCGTAGGCAATTCGATCGTGGATACGATTAAATATGATAATACTTAGGTTAATGAGGGTAGTTCGGAGGTTGATGAGTTGCTCTGTTGTATACTGGTACGAATTGTTGTAGTTTGTGAACGTAATATGGACTAATTGACGGAATTCTTGGAAACAGTCCATAAATGTGTAATTGTTAATAACAATATCACTGGTATTGACAAAATCTTTCAGTTTATCAACAGTATATATGATACGAGTGAAGTTTTTCTGTAATAATCGAAAATGTTCGATAATGAACGGACAAATTCGATAATTTTTGTCTTTCTTGGCTTGTTGGAGAACGAAATAGTTGTAAGTGAGCTTCTCAGTTGTATCAATGAAGATGCGGAAGTTATATGAAGAATCATAAGCTAATCTGTACTCATCTGCCATAACCCAGGCTTCTTTGAACATTGCATGATCAAATATGAGGCATCCGATAAACAATAAAATAATTATGACATGGAAAATTCTGAAAATTTGGTACCAGTTTGTAATTAAGGGGGTGTTCGGTAATAACTGGTTCCTTTCAGCGGTACAAATATTAGCATATAAATTCATGTAAGGAGACTTGAAATCTATATTTGGTTTTCTCTTAACGAGATCTCCTGAGTGGTCTCTTACACTTAAGAAGGTCAAAACATTTGTACTTGGCTGTGGTTTCATAATTAAATCATTATTCACAGGAGCAGAGAAATAAGGACGCTGGTTACTGTTCAATGTACTTGTTACATACTTCTGCTTCTCATTGAAGAGTTGGAGACCTTCACAATAAGCATCATTTGCTTTTCTGAAGTTTTTCTTCAAATCTGCATAATAAATTGATTTAGCAAAGTATACATTGTGATTAAATTGATATAACGTTGACATTTTCTTTATATGCTTTGAGGCCAATTGTAAAACTTCGTTGACACTTTTTAGATCGTTGTAAAGTGTATCTGCGGATTTCGGAGCGTGTGACCATAGGATTTTAGTTGCGAGACCGAATTGTGAGATGATTTCAATGAATGTCTTCATATCGTTTTTGATTAGAGGTGAAGACTCTTCTGAAGTTTGCATATAGCAATATACGGCTTCAAAGAGCATTAATTGAGTTGTGAACTCTAATTTTTCTACTGATAGAAGGTGTAAGAAATATTTGTACGTTGTATTGTCAACTCCCCAGACATTTGAATAAAAATAAATTGCATAACGAAGCATCCACTCAGAATTGGGGAATCTGGACATAACGTAACCCAGGAATTCTTGCTTTGTGAATAGAGCTGAGTTAAATCCAATTCCAAGCTTAATTAAAATTCTGAAGTCAAATTCTGTTTTTATGTGCTTCAAAATGGACTCAAAGTACTCGAATGTTGGTGAGTGGACAGACTCGAGCGATTCGATGATTCCCATGTAGAATTTCGTGCGAAGATAACACAAAAAGTAAGCTGTCATGAAAATTAAGACCAAAGCGATCGGAAGTAAGCCGATAAGTGTTGATATGTGAGGGAGATATCCATTGATCATTGCTAAGCAAACTAAAGCAAAAGCTAAGTTTAATAACAGTTTCATGACAGCGAATTCGTTACCGAGCCGCGAAATTGCTGGTAATGATTTAAGCTGGAAGTAAATAAAGTAAAGACTAATAAGAACTATGAAGCCCAAAACAATACATTGGAATGAATGTTGTAATTTTGAAAGAGAGAAGAAAGATACGACTGTAAAGAAATAGTAAAGAACAATGTTAATTGATCCGCTATCAAACCATTGAGTATATTGTGGGTTTGGCAAAATAATTGAAGATCCAAAAATTGCAACCAAGAGAATGTTAATTATAAAGTATGGCACGAACGCTAAAAATGTTGAAATGCAGATAAATATGTGCGGAAGTGAATTTTCTGGTGGATTTAAGATAATTTGGATGCAATGCATTATAATTGCGCTTGATATTGGTAAAAATACTGAATGAAAATTCGGTGTCATGATGTAATTAAGGCTTTTGGCTATTTCTGGCTTGTTAAAAGCCCGTATGATCACAAAATCATTTACCAAATAGAAAATGAAGCAAAAAACTAGCATTGATGTGTTTGTGAATAGAGAGTCTGTCATAAAACTGAGAATTGTATCTTTTTCGAAAATATCATAAGGATTGATATGATGTTTTGCAGATCTGGATGAAAATGCTGATATAAAATACATTGGTGGAATTGAGTAGGACAAGATATTGAGCACCAATGTAAAAGTTGCAAAAATTTTTTGTTTATAATTTGTTGTTGCTGATTTCAAGACAGATCCAAGCAAAAGAACCTTCCATTTAAAGCTATAGATGAGGTTGGAATCATAAGAGAATAAGGATATTTTCTCAAATGGATCCTCCATCTATCTTTAATAATCAGTGTAAATTTACGATTTGTAAAATCAAGGATTGAATAAGTTTTCAATTTTATTAATTTTGATTTTGATATCCTTATGTAAATTTACAAAAATTTTAAAATAATGAGATTCAATGTAACCGCCATTTTTAAAAAATTGAAATGAAATAATAGAGGTAGGGCAACGATAGGTCAAAAAGGCTTCTCTGATAGATTTCCTTGCCTTTTGGATATGCTATAATATATAGCCTAGCATGATAGGATATGATGTCAAAAGTTCGAACATAACTTAGGATCTTGAGAAAAATGAAAAACAAAAATTACATAAAAAAAGAAAAATTTTATCTAATTTGTTTTTTTGGACCGAATAAGTAATTTTATTGAATTTCAATACGACACATAGATTTTATTATTAGTAATAAATATAATGGTTTACTATTAACAAGGAACCTAAACTAATGAAAATTTGATTTCAAATATTGTATATGATTATCATAGATTACCAAAATATATTGCTATTTATGAGGATATAATATTGATTATTAGTAAATCGTATAAATTTAATAAATATACCATGAATATTGAATGAATTTCTTGATTCATAGGGGTAAAACGCGCTTTTATATGATTTAGACAGAGAATTTATGAGATGTAAATAACACAATAAATGTTTATATTGAATATTTTCTAAAAATAAATCGAAATTATAAAAAACAATACATTTATTCATTGAAACTACTTGGACAAATATGAAACAAGCATTCAGGCAATACTTTTGAGACTTCAACGCATCTGATAATTTTTATATAACTTCACCTCTTATGCTTAGAGTGGAGGTATTGAGATCGTATAAGTATAGATGAGCTCACATTCAGATATGATGTGTGAACTTCTGTTTTCACTGCAATTTTGAATCAGAATAAACTCAAAACAAGAATAAAATGATATACTCACTCTCTAAATGTGTTCGAGATTTAAAGTTGTATGAATAAAACGATTCATCTTTCGAAGCCTCCCATTTAATGAGAGACTTCGAAAGATGAATGTATTCATGTAGATGAAATACTATATATGACCATGTGTGATACTAAAGATATCAAAATGTTCATTTTTAAGTGCAATAGAAGGGTTATCTCTCGTAAAATCTCAATTTAAGGAAGATTTAGAAAGAACTCCTTTCCTAAGTAGATAGTGTGTGGTTTCTGTCTTTTGGTTGATCAGGAACTATGAAATTAAGTCGGACAGAAAGAAGTTCTTTCCAAAACAGACTCCAAATGAGTTGTTCGAAAAGAACTTCCTTCTGTATATGGATAATTGTAGTTACCGCACTGAAGTATGTGATTGTGATGATGGAGTTCTCGATAAATCTAAAATCGGATTAAGATTAATTGAAAACTCAAGTAATTCTTTGAAATCTTGTGTTGTCTGGCACTATAATAACCAAAGAATGAGAATATTATGTTGAATGATGAGTACGTGTGCTCGGCATTCGCCGAGCGAATTGAGTTTAACGTACTATGAAAAGTGACAAATTTGGGCTTTTTTTCCTAGGGTTATGATCTCTTCCTTTCTGCTCAATACGACAGAAATGAAAGAATGAATTTGTACTCCCTAATTGATTACTACAATCTGTATCTATCTTTAACATAGAATTAGCTGCATTGTGATTTATACTCCAGAATTATTCAATTTAAGATCAACCTCGTAAATTTTAATCATATTGCACCAATACTCCTACGTTGAGATAAGAACATGATTATACATACCAAAGCCCCATATTAAAAATCAAAATTTAGCACCTCCATTATGCAACCACATTATTCGTCGCAAATAAGTATATTTACGCATATTATGATGCATATTCACACAACTCGTATACATGAAAAGTTATTAAAATCAGACAAAATTATTGCAATAAGGAAAAAAAAACAACTTTATTATATATGTTAGTAATGAATTACAAATATTTACAAAGAATGCTCAATACTTCATATAATCTTCGAATATTTCTTATAAAGTTAATACATTTTGACTCGAACATGATAAAAAAAGCCGACACGCTGATTACTACATTTATGAAAATATAGTACGTTTCCATTCATCTGTGTTTACTTGTTTTTGTTGGAATAAAATCATTTTTTTTTTTCTTCATGAAATAAATTTTGCTGCGAAAGCAATATCTCTAACAATAATTAATACATTACGTCAACTCTGGAATGAGTATTTATCAAATATGATATCAAAATCAAAAATTAGTTGTTTTTTATGAGTAAAAACGATGTAAATTGATTATTTGACTAATTATCAAATACTTTGATTTTCCAAATTTTTTTCGAAATTGATTTTTTCATGTGAAATTCAAATTGTTTAATTTCATTTTTGAAATTTTGAATTTTTTTTGGAATTTTGAGTTGATCAATTCAGCAGAATTGATAATGCTATTGCTTTAGGGCATACCACAAGGTGATGAATAAAAGGTGAACATTAACAAATTATTTTAAATCACAAATATCATCCTCATCAACTTTAATTCTAAAAAGAACTGTACTGAATTATGAAAATGCATGATTTACATTATTAAAATCTTTGAATGAAAATAGTACAAGATAAGTTTTTATTCATTTTTAATTAGATTTAAACGAAAAACTACTCCATATTAAAATTTAAGTCGAGAAATCGTATTTTGTTCTTATTTGTTAGCATTTTGTAGACATTCTAATCTTGAATTAATTTGTTACATGATATTATTAACAAATTTAACTGAAAAAATATGTTAATATGGAATAAACCATGATTATATAAGCTATCAATGCTATATATACATATGTAAAAGATTCATATTAACTCAATTAACAAAAATGATAGATTTTCATAAAGGTTCAATCTAGGTTCGTTAGAAAATTTTGATTTTTATATAGAAGACATAGTTTCATATACATAATTAAATTTTCAAACAAATTTGATCATACCATTTATTAAGCAGGATAGTATATTAATTACTATCAGTATAAAAATATAAAAATGATTATATTTAATTATTGCATAATTTAGTCAAAGAGTTATAAGCATCAAGTGATCGTTATCACCTTCAATGCACGTATACTTTATTGATTCATAGATATTTAATCTATGTTTGACATGTTGTTGTCGTCATTCGTTTTGTTCCCATTCTTCCTAAGTTAGAATTAGAGAATACACCATCCACATCATCTAATTTGGTCCTCAGCGATAGATTGGTTCATTTTGGAGGAGTCCCATCAGACAGTTTTCGAGCACCAAATATCAAATTTTAATGTATACAAATCTTTAGTGATTTATCTCTTTTATGATGAGTAAAAGGTTTCTGCTCGTCAACATTTGATTTCCGACATATATGATTTCTAATTGCAATTATTTACTTTCTTTTTATAATCTAACTCTGTGACTCATACCATAAATTAATTATTGGAAAGTGTCAATATGTTTGGCACAACGCATGGCGGAAGATACCAAACCATGCAGGGAATATGATACGTTTAAGATCTCCGAAGTTTTTTTCCAAAAATTTTCTATCGTTGCCCTACCTCTGAAATAATTCTTTGATATGAAAAAATGACAAAATGGTTTCCACATCTCCATATAATTTGCCAAATATTTCAGAATCGCCTTTAAAGTGGAAAATAATAATGAAAATCAAATGTCACAAAGTAAATTGAACATATCTACAGGACAAGGGCCTTACCATATCATATACATAGGCCAATAGGTCTAATATATGCGGTGCTAAATCTGGATATCAGTTGAAATAAAGCAATAATTTTATTGATTCATCGTATTTAACTAATTTTAATAGGATGATGTATTATATTGTCGATGGGTGGTTTGTGTTTTATTAAAAAATGTCCAAATCTATAAAAAAAATTACATACAATTTTTATTACATAACTGAAGGAGCAAGAATAGAATCGCACTCTACATATGAGAAGCCAGGAACAACAGCTTCATCTCCTATGATTGGAGCAACAAAGGAATCTGCCTTTGTTTCGTTTGTAAATTCTGCATCGAAGTATTTAACATTTGTTGGGTCTTCGATCTGAGGTACATAATATGGCTGGATCTTTTTGGCCAAAACATCATCAAAGTTAATATTTCCAAAGAATTGGTGTTCTTTGACTTCCTTGAAGCCAAATCTTTGTTTTGGCTCCTTGTTTAAGAGTCCCATGATGAAAGACTTCTCAACTTCGGAAGCATATTCTGGGAACTTTGGAGAATCGTTGACAATCTTACGATATGTCTTATCTCTGTTCTGGCTATGGAATGGTGTTCTGTGGTACATAAGTTCGAAGGCCAAAATGCCAAGAGCCCACCAATCTACGCTTTTATCGTAGTTTAAGCCACGAACAACCTCTGGAGCGATGTAATCTGGTGTTCCACAAAATGTTGAAGTTGTGTCTTCAACAGTGATATCCTTTGCAAGGCCAAAGTCGGTTAACTTGATATAGCCATCCTGGCCGATCATGATGTTTTCGGGCTTCATGTCTCGATAGATGACTCCGATGCTATGGAGATGGTTCAAAACGAGGGCAACTTGGGCGAGAACGAGCTTATATTCCTCTTCGTGAAGGAAACCATCACGTTTAATGTGGGCGAATAACTCACCTCCTGGTACATACTCTAATCCCAAATAGAATTTGGAAGATGACTGAAAAGCAAATTTCAATTGAACAATGAAAGGATGATCAGCCTTGATCATGATATTTCTTTCATTTAGAACGGTTTTAATTTCTTTTTGTTCAATGAGCTTTGATTTTCTAATTGATTTGATAGCAAATAATTCACCATCGGCTTTTGACTTGACTAAACGTACTTTTCCGTAATAACCTTGACCGATGACACTAATTACTTCGAAATAGTCCATATTCAAGTCCGGATTCCAGAATGTAGCGCCTCTTAAGAGTAATACCCATTGCATCATTTCTTGTGTTGACTTTGCTTCAAGAAGAGCTGTCTCACCGTTTGTATCTTCGAGGAAGAAGCGTGGTTTCTTCTGATCTGAGACTATCTGAATCTTTGCATTCGGATTAATTTCAATTGTTTGTTCAGAATTGTTGATTTTCTCGGATTTTGAAATGACTAACTGAGTGCCAATTAACTTGCAATAACGTTGGCTCCAAATGCCTAAGAGACCTCTCTTCGAAAGCCAGCCGCCAGTGGTAGATAGGTTATTCATATTTTGTTTCGAAAAAAATAAAATTCAATGATTGAATGGTTTCAAATTGAGAGTGAATTTTTGAGAAGGGTAAACATTTTAAATGTGCGAGAGAATTTATATAAATATATACTTTTGGCTCTGACGGGGTAGACAAAAGCTAACGGGTAATATTAAAGATATTTCATTTGATGTGATCATGGTTTATCGATAAATTTCAGACTCAAATAAATTTTTTCCCCTCATCGTTTTTTAGTAAGCTACTTTAGGGTCACCCTAATTTTATGATATCCACGATGCCACCTCAGAAGATATTTCAAAAATCATAAATTGAGTTCCTTAATGACATACTATACAAATTTCGTAATTCCAAGTTCTGTTAAAATTGCTGATTACTGATGTCTATAATATGTATGCATCCTAAGCGGACTTTTTCAACTGTTTCGGGCTATACACTCTCGTAAATAAAATTTTCGATTCAGTGCAGCGGGAAATTTTCTATTTCACTAGTTGGATTCGCATTGTTTGTGTATGTAGTAAGATTCAGATATAATTTGCGACTTGTCAGTTGAATCTTGGGAAATGTCATCCGTAAAAAAGGACATTGTATCTCTTTTTAATTGCGTATTTATAGAGTATATTGGATATAATTAACAATTGTTGATGTTAATCCTTCAGAATATCATTTATCAGTTATAAATTTTGATCAAAATTCTGAGAAAGATGATGAAAATACTACCGGAAGGGTGCAAACTCAGCTAAATGGTAAAAACAATAGAATGATTATTCCAAAAATACAATACATCTTTATTTATAATCGGAAATATCATCAGAAAGAATATTTTTGATTTTAGATTTCTGATCCTCTGTTAAATTATGTGGGAACTCATATGTGACGGTCAGAATCAAATTTCCGCGGGATTTTGGACTATTTTGATAAGGGAATCCTTTTCCAGGAATTGTTATTTGCTGGCCTTCCTTAACATCTTGGAGCGTCAATTGGATGGTTTGTCCATCAAGATTCTTAAATGGATACGTCTGTTTGGTGAATGCGCTGGCTAAAGGTACAGTAATGTTACTATAAAGGTCGTATTCGACTAATTTGAAGTTTTTATTGGGTTTTGGTTTCAGAAGAAAGATTACATCTGTAGCTCCACGGTATTTCTCTGAATCGGTAACGTTTTTAGCAAAAATGCGAGAATTTGGTCGTGTACCTTTAGGAATAGATAAAGTATAGTGCTGATATTGTGATACCCAAGGAGAACTTTGACATTTTTTACACGTTTTTGCTTTTTGACTGCAAACGCAAGGGACTGATTGAAATATATGGAAGTTCTTTCGTTTTCCAGTCATAAAATCTTGCAACTCGAGGTAAAGTGGAAAGTTAATAATTCCTCCAAAATCTTTCACTTGAAATGCTTTATTTGAATCAAAGTAGTTGAGAGCCATGATTTCTTGATCGCTTCGGTATGCTATTATTGAAAAGTTATCATGCTCGAAAGCTTCATTTCCTATTTGGTCAAAAATAGATCTACTTGCTTCATTTTTTAATATACTATATGCCCTTTCGATATCATTCCATTGATCAATCATTTTTTGTGATGGGTTTTTCTGTAATTTTCTAAAATTAATAAATCTTTTGTAAGATCTTTCAATTTCTTTTGAAGTTGCATATTTCTTTAGGCCAAGTGCAAAATACGGATCAAATTCCGACGAATTACTCTCATATCCTGCAGGAAGGCGAAAGGAAAAAAGAAAAAGATTCATGATTAATTACAAAAGTGACAATCAAAAAATGAGAAATTGGAAAACGAAAGAAAGCTTTTTTAAAGTTAATCAGTTCATTAAAATGATTCTTGTAGATTTTGATGGCGAAAATTTGATAAATATCTAAATAATTCAGCAAAGTGCAGATCAATTTTTTGAGTGAAGTCAAAAATATTTCAAATGAAGATGAGTAAAAGACTATGTGTTTTGTGAGAATAATTAAAAATGTATTCAACTAGCTTTTATTTATTAATTTTAATTTCCGAACTGAAGAAAATGCACTAAATACAATGAACTACCTAATGTTTCTATTCCAATTCTAGTAGAATTAAGTGTGCTATGATACTTTTTCCCAAATAATAAGAAAAAAGAAATTCATTATAAGAAATTAGATTTCCTGAATAAATAATAAATTAAAAATTATAAAAACCAAGTCTGGTGAAATATTTATTAAGTAACTAAAATAACTTATGCTGGGAAGATACCCTCAACATGACCGTCTTCCTCATCAAATTCATCAGCAAATGGATCATCCGCACCGTTTTCATCATAAATTGGGTTATCGCCCTCATTAGCAGCACCGTTTCCATCGGCTTCAACGAACTCTCCGTTCTCTTCGTCGAAAACGAAGTCCTTTGGTTTCTTAATAGCCTCATGGATGAGAACTGCTGCTGCAGCGCAAGCGACTGCTGCAACACCACCAGCAGCGCAACCGATGATGAGCATCTTCTTCTTATCGGTCTTAGACTTTTGAGAGCTTCCTTCCTTAGCAGCATCGCCATCTCCGCCCCATGGAGCCTCTTCAGAAGCTGATGGAACTGGGGCTGGGCCTGCTGTTTGATCTGGTGTTGGCTTTGGTGTTGGGATTTCAGATGTCTTGATGATAATTGTTGTTGTTGTGATGGTGCAAGATTCGTAAAGATCATCGTTGATATCAGCGACACTTGTGCATGTGATTGTTGGGATTTCTGAATCAGCAGAGGGACCGCTGTAGCTGGAATCAACGATATCTTCGTACTCATCGCCTGGTGTTGGTGTTGGATCAATTGGTGTTGGGTTTGTAGTTGTGTGTCTGATGACATTGAACCTGTAATGCAAGTCAGCAGAGTTAGCGTTTCTGCTATCAATAGCGAAGATGATTAAGCTATGCTCACCAAATGGCAAATGATCTGGAATTACGTATTCGAGTTCGAAATCAACCCAGTCACGATTGGCATCGTTTGTGTTGAATGAGTAGTAGTTTTCAGCTGGTGTTGTTGGATCGTTTTCTGGCTTCTTGTAGTAGATGGTAACTACTTGGTTTGCATCGACATCACGGACTTTACCAGAAATTGTGATTGTATCACCTCTATACTTGTTTTCTATGGATGTTTGAGGTGTTGTGAACTGGATTTCTGGTGTATGCAACTGCGTGTACTTGAATGGTGAGCTGATGATTGTGGACTTGACACCGAATTCATCTTCAGCCCAAATGTAGATGACGTGGTCACCGAAGTTGATATAGCTTTCTTGGATTGGGAAGGACTTACGGAATGTCTTTTCTTGTCTGTTGCACTCGATAAGTGTTACATCAGTGTTCCAGTTGTAACCATCATCGACCTTGTACTTGAGGGTGGCCTTTGTATCATCCCAGATACGGCCTTCAACGACGACGATACCACCTGTGAAGTACTCATCATTTGGTCTTGTTGTGAATGAAACTCTTGGTGCTTGGTTGACAAGAAGGTTCTTCTCGAAAACGTTAGATGTCAATTCGAATGAGTCAATGGCGTAAACCTTTAATGGATATCTAGCGACTTCAGAACCGAGTTGAACTTTGAAGCTGAACTGACCATTAGAAATGCCACCATTAACCTTATCAGTTTCAAATCTTTTAAGGAATTGTCTTGGGCCATTGTTGAACTCGTAGTAGACATCAACTGTTTCGTTAGCATCAACATCATTAACAACACCGTTAACAGTAATTTCAGTATTTGGATCATAGTTTTCTTGGAAATTAGTTTCGATATTTATTAATGATGGATTTCTAAGATCAGCGCCAACACCCATTAATGTTGAGAAAACAAGTGTTTCATTTGGATAAATATCACGGCGGGTCCAGCTGATAGAGAATACGGAGTCAGTATTGACAAGTGGCTCGTCACTTTCCAATTGATAAAAGTAGTGATAGCCAATACCATACATTCCATACCAGAATTGATCATAATCAGAAACTTTGTAACCACCCTTGGCAAGCAACGTTAAGGTAATGTTGGTGTATTTGTCGTACATTGTTAAGCCACGACGATTGCCATACCATGTGCATTTTGCGTGGTCGTTATTTTTAATCATAATATCTGCATAAGATGAAACGTTGATTGTGTGAGGAACTGTATCTTTGTTGGTAAGAAGGAAGGAAACAAGAAGATACTTATCACCGAGTGGAACCTTTTCAACTTTGATATCAGAATAAATATTCCTATAGTTTGCTTTACCATGTCTAGTTCCGGGCATTTTAATTAGGGTGGGATCATTATCAACAGTAAATACGGGCTTCCATCCACCAAAGCTATAGGTTGTCATGACCCAAGAGGTACCGCCTGTATCTGCTCTCTCATTGTATTTGATATCAAAGGCGGAATAAGTGGTGTCCTTCCAATAGGCATAAAGGTATTTAGTATGTGTGATTTCTGTTTCACTAAAAGCAAAAGTAACTAGATAGGATAACATGTTGGATAACCTTTTAAATTTATGAGATGATTTAGAGGCTCTGAATTTTGATTATAATTGAATGATATCTCAAATATTTGTGAAAGATTGGTTTCGGTTAAACAACGAATTTTGCAATACTTGTTAAATCGGTCCAAATATCTAGTACTATGATATATGTGTCAAAACAAATAGGTTAACGTTTAATTTAAATTTTTGAAATTATATTTGTTATGTATAATGGATTAATTGTTACGATTTTTTTTTATAAGTTATAAATTTGAAATTATTCAAAAAAAATTGAAATACATTGAAATATAAATATCATAATTTAACTATATAGCCAATTCACATAATATTTTAACTATAAAATTTTGGATTTTGTCAGATGTTTAACCGTTTTTTTCATGTTCAAAAGCAGATATATTTTTTCTTTAATTTAAGGATGTCAATTCGGAAAATTGTTTTCATTTTAGGAGAATATAATTTTCCTTTTAGAAAATTTAAAAAGTGAGACGCGCAGGATTCGAACTTTTTTAAAAGTTGATTTAAATATATTCTAGTGTGAATTCTAAGGATAATATCATATTTAAAATAAGAATATACTAGTTTAGGTGGTATAATTTTTTCGATAAATTTGAGAGTATGTACGTTTAGGGCATCAAAAGTGTCAATTCGCTCAGCGAAAGCTGAGCTAGCTTCGTTCTCGAAAAAATAGGGAAGGAGTGAAAGAGAGTGATACAGATGTTGACACATTCATATCATTTCAACAAATTTTGATCAAATTGAAATTCAATGAAATTCAATTCACTTCATATCCTTCAGTCAGTACATTGACATCCTTCTACATCACAATGATAACTCGTGCATCAATAGTTCTACAACTAACTCAGAAAAAACAAGATTTTTCCTTCCAGCTTACAGCTTTTAAAAAGTTTCGATGATAAAAATCACTCTACTCTTGTTTATCGATATGTTGTGATAGTAGGTAAACGTATTCTTATCGATATTAATAAAAATATTTTTACGAAAATCTGAACCAATTACAGAGTTATTCATAAAGTTTATGATAACTGTAATTACTTCATCTTTGTTTTATATTTGAATAAACAATTTAATTTGCATAATTTTTTTTAGTTGAAAGACAGGAAACTTAGTTGAGTTTGTATTATTTTTATCGTTCAATTCATTGTATCAGTGAGTGATCCAGATATTTAAGATATTTACAAAAAATTTATTAATTTGATTAACAAATTTTAATCAAAATAGCAAAAATCTATTTGATAGCTGTAAGCAAACAATAATTTTTATTTCAAGCAAAATCAATTATTTTCATCTAAACGTATAAAATTGTCAATTTTATGAGAATAAATTTAAAATCTCATGAAATATAAAGGAGAGTAATATTTTTCAATTTTCTTTTTTTCTTTGTCTCAAATATTTTCTGTTGGGAATTTTCTTGTTATCAAAAAATAATTTTAATATTTGTTTATTTCATTACATACAATAAAATTTTAAAAACTCTATTTGTTCACAAGAAAATTTTTTCCCTTCATATGAAGAAACATTTTGTTCTCCATTTGATACTGAGTCTAAATCTCGATTTTTGATTTTTCTTCTTTCCAAATTTCTTTTTTCCAAATTAGAAGTTGAATTCAAATTTTCAATAGTTTATATATTTTCTCAAACCGTCTTAGATTTTCTCACTTTTTAGGGATTTTCTCTCAAAATATACAAAAATAGTAATATCAATACATGTGTCTAATATACTTTAAAACCATCGTGATAAAATTCAAAAACGAAGAGTTCTTCTCTCCAAATTTTTTTCAAAATCGAGTAGGGGTAATTTTAGCTAAAAGTGACACACCCGTGAGGGGTGTGATTACCGATCGGTAATTTCGACAGTTGAGAATTTAAAATTTTTTATGGAACTGTTGCGAGTTTCATAAAGAATTTAAGGAATATAAGCAAAGATTTGAATCAAAATCTTAGACCTAAGCCGATCGCTTCGCTCGCGGCTTCCGCGAATTACAGATCAGCAAAGATTTGAATCAAAATCTTCGAACTAAGCCGATCGCTTCGCTCGCGGCTTTCTTTATTATTTTAAATTTGCATGTTTCCATCAAAAGTTCATAAGGTAAAAAATTTCGTTTATTTTTACTCAGCAAAAAAAGGTTTTTGATAATAAATTTATTTTATTTCGAAAAAGTAGCAATAATCGTAAAAGGGTATTGATAGGCTTGCTAAAGTAACTAATTTTAGCTGTCAAATACTTTTGTATTTTGAAGTAAATTAGTATAAATTTGTTTTTACTTTTATTTCGAAAAAGTAGCAATAATCGTAAAAGGGTATTGATAGGCTTGCTAAAGTAACTAATTTTAGCTGTCAAATACTTTTGTATTTTGAAGTAAATTAGTATAAATTTGTTTTTACTTTTATTTCGAAAAAGTAGCAATAATCGTAAAAGGGTATTGATAGGCTTGCTAAAGTAACTAATTTTAGCTGTCAAATACTTTTGTATTTTGAAGTAAATTAGTATAAATTTGATATTATTTTAACTCCCTTTGAAAACCTCAATTTTCCATACAGAGGGAACGGGAATAGCATCCAATATTCCCTGAGAATGGTTGCGCATTCTCAGTTCCCTCTATATTTCGAACGAAGCTCTCATCGGTCTTTTTTTTAATACTAAACGTTTTTTTTCCCTGTCACTTTTAGCTAAAATTTGGGTTTGCCATTTGAAAGTTCGATACTTGGTCATTATTAAAATGTGAAATCATCATTTTTCCTTTCAATTAAGCCCATATATTCACGAGTACATTTCTCTAATGAATTTTATGTATGTTTCAAAAACGTTAGTGAATATTATAACACAAATTCACTCTAATTTAACAATTTGTCCCATTAAAAGCATCGTTGTCCCAATCGACTCATAGACAAATATAACTATGTTTGATGCAGGTTTCATTAACATATAAGCCGGTTCACAACGAAAGAAAGTGTCTTTTTGAATCATCAAATTCTAGATTTGTCAAAACAATATAATTTGTTTGGAATGAAAAAACAAAACATACTTTTAATTTACATCATGACATTAATAACAATAACAAACAACAGCGACATTAAAAATACAAAAATACAAGTTCATAAGTATTTCTTTGAAAAAGGAGATGAATTCGTGAGCTTTGGCACCTGTGAAAGGAGTGGGAGCCGCTTTTCTCCAACAGATCTGTGAAGATTTTTCGTTGGAGAACCAAGACTGATTGAGAACGTTGAAGAGCCAAATCGCTGGTATGAAGGGTTCTTGTAAGTGATTGGCCTTTTCTCTTGTATGGTAGATAATGAGAAATTCCTGTTAAAAACGGTTAAATAAATTTTGGATATCATTTCCTTTTGGGCTAGAATGAAATAAGGAGCTGAGATGCCACTGAAATCCTTTGAGTTGATCGCATGAAGAATAGTTTGCGTATTGAAACCCTTAGATTGTAAGTTCTTCATGACCGTTTGATTTATTTTCTTTCTCAATGAGTATTCTGTGGATGTTATGAGTTCGCATGTAAGATATTGTGCATTTGGATATTGAAGTATCCATTTGCTTTTAACAATTGCGTTGTGAGTTGCCCTTTGAACATTATTTTTTGCAAGAAGGTGATTAAGAAGGGAAACTAAATCGGGAGAAAGGGACGAATCGTACTCTGGTTCGCTGTTAAGAATACTATTAATCAATCCTTCCTTTGAAAGCTCCTTAAAAGGAAGATGACCTGTAATCATCGCGTAAAGTACAACACCTGCACTCCAAAAATCTGTAGTTATTGTATAATTCTTGCGCCTAAGCATTTCCTGGGAACAGTAAGAGATAGTTCCAAAACCATGTGTAACGTCAGGATTATATTCACTCAACAAATGGCTAAGTCCGAAGTCGACGACTCTTATGTTATCATATTCATCTATGAGAATGTTTTCGAGTTTGATATCGCAGTGAATTATGTGAATTTCTGAATGTAAATAATGAAGTGCACTGATTAACTGAACAAAGTAATGGCGGGCTCGCCACTCTTGGATCTTCCCAATGTGTGAGAGCAATGAATGTAATGTTCCGCCGGGTAGATATTCTAAAACAATGTAATAATCTTCGTCTGTTTGAAAAAATTCATACAAAGGAGCCAAAAACGGATGATCTAACTGTTTGAGAATAGCAATCTCCTGATTAACTTTCTGCATCGAAGTTTTTGACTTAGATATTTTTTTGATTGCGACGTTTTCGTTTAAAACTTCATGAACAGCCAGGTAGACTTCGGAAAATCCACCATGGCCAATGGAATCTTTGATAATGTATTTTCCTACTTTATCGCCCTGTTGAAGTGTAAGATTCAAAATTAAATGAAAAATCTCTATATCGGCCGCAGTGTTTTCTAAACCTATCAAACAAATTTGTAATCAAAAAAAGTTAAATATTAGATAGATCCTATATTAAAGGATACTATTATTTAAATCTCTAACAAAAAGTATATCGTCCTTTGGTTAATGATTTTAATTAAAATAAGTGCCAACTATAAATGCTATTAAAATGTGGATTTACATTCATTGGATAGGATTGAAAGATTGATAGAGATATTGAAAATTTGATGAGAACGCATGCTTTTTGATTGGGTTTACATTTAAAATTCATGAATTAATTGGTATATATTTAAAGCGTGTGAATCATCATATATTGTAAACTTCACAAAAGTTATTTGTATGAAAAGATGTTTAAAAGATATTTCAATTTATAAATTAACATGATATTTTTTGTAAATTCTAAATTCTGAAAATTATTTCAAAAAGTTCATTAACCGAAAATCATTTCCATCTTATATTATGATAAAAACTATAGGAATGTGCTTGTCTCATGAGGAAATCCAAAATTTCTAGCAAAATACTAGGAAAATTAAAGGAAAACTTTTAAATGAAAGGTTCTATTTAGTTCTAAAATGCATAAAACATTAGATAACATTTAATGCGAATATACGAATAAGCCGAATATTAAAAACAAATATCAATTTGTGAGAAAGACGAATTTTCATACAGCTTTATTCTGTGTCGAAGAGCTTTGTTGAAAGGTATTTCTCACCGCGATCAGCGAAGAGAACAACAATGACACCGCTGTCAATCTTCTCAGCAAGCTTCTGAGCAGCGAGCATAGCAGCGCCAGAGCTCATGCCGATGAAGATGCCTTCCTGAGCAACGATTTCACGTGCCTTGGCGAATGCCTCTTCAGACTCGATGAGGATGTGCTCATCAATCTTGTCAGCCTGGTAAATAGCTGGGACAATAGCTTCTTCCATGGACTTCAAGCCCTGGATATAGTGGCCCTTTGTTGGCTGAGCTTCAATGATCTTGATTTCTGGGTTCTTCTCACGAAGGTTCTTGCCAACACCCATGAGTGTGCCGGATGTGCCGACAGCAGCAACGAAGTGGGTAACTGTTCCCTTTGTCTGGGCCCAGATTTCTTCTGCTGTTGTCTTGTAGTGGGCGATCTTGTTGTATTCGTTAGAGAACTGGTTAGGGTTGAAGTACTTGCCTGGGTTCTCCTTAACGAGTTCAGCAACCTTACGGATGGCGCCATCTGTGCCGAGCTTCTTGTCTGTAAGGATGATTTCAGCACCGAAGGCCTTGATCATCTTACGGCGTTCGATTGAAACGCCCTCACTCATAACGATGATGACGTTGTAGCCCTTGACACGGCCAATCATAGCAAGGCCGATACCTGTGTTTCCGGATGTAGCCTCGATGATTGTTGATCCTGGATGGAGCTTGCCTTCGGCTTCTGCCTGCTCAATCATCTTAAGAGCGATACGATCCTTGACGGAACCTGTTGGGTTGAAACCTTCAAGCTTGGCGTACATCTGGACCTTTGGATTTGGGTTGAGATGATTGATGCGAACGAGTGGTGTGTTACCGATTGTCTCGAGGATGTTGTCGTAGATCATGTCTTTGATAGAGATCTAGAGAAAAATGAAATGAAAAATTTTCAGCTGCCAATAATCGATTTTTTCAGAGGTGTTTAAACTGTCTCAGAAAATTTTCAGAGGAAATCTGTTCTAAAAATTGAATATAGATTGGCCTATTTTTATCCATACAATGTTAATTTCGTTTTTGCACTTAATGGAAATGGTGTTGAGACCGAATATGACCTTATTAAAGAAAGAAATCAAGAATGTAACAAATCAGATAAACTTTTTTTGATAAAGATGTGTTAATTTAGCTTATCTCTGTAAGTAGATGTAAGTATTTAAGATGAAATGCATATTTTATAGATCCCGTTAGATTTGCTCATATCAAAAAGAATACAGAAAATATTACAACTGGACCGATATATTCGAACAACATATATGAATTATTATATTACTCAAGTTAGTAAATCATATAGTACATGAAATATGCCTTAATTCTGGAGATTTTCATTCAAGATCAAAATTCAATGAAAATTTTTCAGTGTAATTATCAAAGTTAGCTAATTAGATATGATTCTAAAACATTAGTAATGGTATTACGTTGTTCTGCGAAATAATTTTTGTGAACAAAATTTTGATTTCTTCAAAATCATGTAACACAATGAATTCACTAAAAAATTGCGCATCACTCACAGTTAACAAGCTAAATTTTCATTAATATTAATAATTCAATTTAAATAATCAACATAAACGTCTAAAAGTGGTAAATTAAACATTCAGCATATCGATTTAAGTGTTTGCTAATGCTAACGAGATTAAAAAGAGTTATATGATTAAAATAATGACAGTAATATTTATTTAATTAGCTTATTCTTTCTTTTGCTTCTTATCCTTTTCTTCTTTCGATTGTTCTGGGTTTAAAAGGTCGTATTTCTTGAGATTATATATTAAGTACTCAAAGGAGCAGAATAAACCTAATGCAAGAACTGACATGATAACGAAATGGATACTGTAAGTTGTAAAGATTGAAACTGTTAAGAAGACTAATAAAAGAATGAAGCAAATTCTAAGGAAAACAATCATTGTTGTTCCTACACCTGGGGTCAAGAGTTTTTCTATCCATGACTTCTCTGAATATGGAACTTCTGCCTTTTTCTCCTCAGTAGACATTTAAATAAAAAATTTAAATGACGATCAAATCTTGAATTTTCGAATAAAAGTGACCCCGAAATACGTGTCGAAGGCGTGACAAAGCAGTCGAAGGCACGACAAACCTGTCAAAAAAACGATGGAATTACTATATATACATTCCTTTTCTTGTTTGAGCTATTAAGGATCTGAAAATTATAAAACTAAAATAATGGATCTGAGAGCCATGCGATTTGATTTCATTCTATATTTATGCCATATCATATGAACATTGAAAGCTAGTTTTGTTTTACTAGGAAACTCCATGAGTTATTTACGTATCTATATGGGCAATTGCTGCTCATATTCGATAAATAATCATAATATTGTGTTTATTATATCTTACCTCAGAGTAGGTGTGCTTAGAATTTTCTTCATTTAGGTTGTAATTATCTGAAAAAATAAAGAAAGATTTAAAAAAAAACATTTTAAATGTTGTTACTAAAAATTCATACATATATTTATTGCTGATGTTGTTTTTCTGCGCACTTGTGGCGAATTGCCTTATTCATGCAGGTATCGCAGTAATAAACGTGGCAATATGGGCATTCTTTGGCATTTGGTGTAAAGCAGCTTGCACAATTATGAACATCATCGTGTGTTGTAGTTCCGACGGCTTTGATCTTTGTAATCAAATCGAAAATCTTTTCAACATTTTGTTCAACGTTATGAATTCTATCTTCGATTTCAGTGATTTTAGCTGTATTAACAGTGTTGGCAGGATGTGCATGAATTCTACGAACTTTCGTTTGTTGAATTTTGTTTGCATCATTTTGAACTAATTCCAATTCAATTTCAGGGATTTCTGGCCAATCTTCAGCTTGGTTTTCGTAGGCCATCATTAAATCTGCAATATCTTGTTTTGGAGGAATTTCGCAACCATATAAGGTTTCATTCCTTCCTTATTCTTTGTATTAATATTACCGTGGAATGCAAGTATTGCTCTTGTAATAATATCGTTCGGAAATGCCATTGCAAGGTGAAGTGGAGTATCGCCATTTGTATTAACAGCATCGACATCAGCACCATGTTGGAGTAAGTACATAATAATTTCTATTTGTCCGCTTGAAACGGCAAGATGAAGGGCAAACCCAAATTTTAGCTAAAAGTGACAGGGAAAAAAAACGTTTAGTATTAAAAAAAAGACCGATGAGAGCTTCGTTCGAAATATAGAGGGAACTGAGAATGCGCAACCATTCTCAGGGAATATTGGATGCTATTCCCGTTCCCTCTGTATGGAAAATTGAGGTTTTCAAAAGGAGTTAAAATAATATCAAATTTATACTAATTTACTTCAAAATACAAAAGTATTTGACAGCTAAAATTAGTTACTTTAGCAAGCCTATCAATACCCTTTTACGATTATTGTTACTTTTTCGAAATAAAAGTAAAAACAAATTTATACTAATTTACTTCAAAATACAAAAGTATTTGACAGCTAAAATTAGTTACTTTAGCAAGCCTATCAATACCCTTTTACGATTATTGCTACTTTTTCGAAATAAAAGTAAAAACAAATTTATACTAATTTACTTCAAAATACAAAAGTATTTGACAGCTAAAATTAGTTACTTTAGCAAGCCTATCAATACCCTTTTACGATTATTGTTACTTTTTCGAAATAAAAGTAAAAACAAATTTATACTAATTTACTTCAAAATACAAAAGTATTTGACAGCTAAAATTAGTTACTTTAGCAAGCCTATCAATACCCTTTTACGATTATTGTTACTTTTTCGAAATAAAAGTAAAAACAAATTTATACTAATTTACTTCAAAATACAAAAGTATTTGACAGCTAAAATTAGTTACTTTAGCAAGCCTATCAATACCCTTTTACGATTATTGCTACTTTTTCGAAATAAAATAAATTTATTATCAAAAACCTTTTTTTTTCTTAGTAAAAATAAACGAAATTTTTTACCTTATGAACTTTTGATGGAAATATGCAAATTTAAAATAATAAAGAAAGCCGCGAGCGAAGCGATCGGCTTAGTTCGAAGATTTTGATTCAAATCTTTGCTGATCTGTAATTCGCGGAAGCCGCGAGCGAATCGAGCGGCTTAGGTCTAAGATTTTGATTCAAATCTTTGCTTATATTCCTTAAATTCTTTATGAAACTCGCAACAGTTCCATAAAAAATTTTAAATTCTAAACTGTCGAAATTACCGATCGGTAATCACACCCTTCACGGGTGTGTCACTTTTAGCTAAAATTACCCCTACTCCAAGATGAAGTGGCGACGATCCGTCGTTCTTTGTTTGTAAATTTAATTGTTTCTCAAGATCTTCATGATTAAGAATAATTTCAATAGTCGTAACATCCTGTGAAGCAACGGCGTAGTGAATGGGATACCAATTAAATTAAAAAGAATTCCATTAATTTCAACATCTAAACTAGCTCTATGTTCAAGAAGATATTTTATAATGTCATGCTGCCTGCAACAGATTGCATATATAAGAGGTGTTGGGCGAGTTACTGTTGGTAACAAAAATACCATTGATGGTGCACGATTTTTTGGATTGAAAGAAAACTGTGGTGTTAGAATAACAAAATTATACTCTTCTATTAATCATTTTTTCGCTAAGTTCAAATGACTCAACTGTGGAGACATTACCTTGAACAATTGCGAAAGCAAAATCCTCATCAAAACACATTTTTTTCTGAGAAAAAAGTAACGATTTATGATTTTGTGAAATCGTATTTGCAACAGCAATCCTTCGATGATGATGTACCTGGGAGAATAAGCATGAAGAAAAATTCTGTTCTCTGATTAGAAAGGATTATAATACAAAAGTTTTTATGAATAATTAATAAAAAATTACAAAGATAAGACATCCACGGCCTATATTTTAACTTATTTTTGATATCATTTATTGATGTATTACTCACTACTGTTTGAATTCTTGAAGAAGCTACTTTCGATTTCATTTGAATAAAAACTATAGTATTTATTATATTTCAAACCGTATAATTGTTTTATTTATATTATATAATATATTCTATTATTTAAAATTTCGTTCTACTGATTATATATCGATTAAATTTGAAATTAATATCAGAAAATTCCAAAAATATTTTGAAATTTAAAAAATATATTTAGAAAATGTTAGAATTACCAACGTTTTATTGATTTTGAAAAAAAATTTGGAAATGGATAAATGTTTGGAATGCAAGGGTTTGTCTTCCAAGATGCTGCATTACCTTTTTTCACATCCATTTATGCTATATTTATTTGAGAATGGTAATTTCAAGTTAAACTAGGCTCAAAAAACAAATTCATTGAACCATCGGTAACTCAAACAAAATATCATCTTATACTTGTTTCTCCATTAGATACTCTGCTAACTTCACAAATTCATTGTACGAATAATCCAATTACTCATATAAATTATCTCTTAACTAGAATTAAGCATACTAGATAATCGATACCAATTACTAATCAACTAATAACTAAGAATTTATAGATATGAATACCAAAAATGATTCCATTTAGATCAGAAAATTCATATAAACTATACTTTTTGCATTGATTGCTGTTTTATGAACTATAATAAGCTTAGTATTTTGCGATATTTATTCGTTTTCGGATTGTTGATAGTAGTTAAGCACTCATAACGAAAAATAAACATACACTTAAAGAGGTAAAACTATTTTCCCTATATCATTCGTAAATTTTCTTTCTATATTCTTCAAGATAAGATTCGGAAGTACCTTTGATTTGTTTAGCACAGATCAATCATACATCTGCATGCTTTGTTGCATAAACCTAAGTCTTGCATATGGCTATGTAAATCGAATATTCCAAACCAGTTATCATTGTAAAAGACCGTTTATCAATTAAAAAAGTTCTTACATTACCAGTTTAAAACAAATTCTAATCATGCTCATACAAGATAGTTAGTTTTTGTAATTTTTGAAATTATTGTTAAGCAAAAGCAACTTTAAGATGGATTTCATATTAAAAAAGAGACTAACTCAAAGATTAATTGTGTTAATAGGGATAAAAACCTCAAACCAGAAATTTTGCAAATTACCTCAGACTTTTCAGAGGATTGAGTTGCCACTCAATCCTCTGAAATAGTCTGTGGTAATTTTTAGTCTCTACACTATTTCAATATAAGCTCCATTTTTAAACAGTTTTTAAAAATCGAGCATTGAAAAGTGTGATGAGACATTCAAATTTCAAATTCAAGGTTTCGGATGTTACAATGAAGGAGTTAATTGCTTTTCATTCATATCATTAATATCATTTAAATACGAGTATAGAAGGAAAATTTTGAAATAAAAACTTCGGGATCATCAAGTTTTGAGAAGTATCACTTTTAATCCTCCTGAAGTTAGTTAGGGATATTTAATTATCATATGATTAGGAATCTTTTTAATAAAATTTTCCTTCATAATTAGATTCAATATTCTGAGCAATAGCATTTGAATGAATAAATTTAAAGCTTTCAAAACTTTCCTTGATGATGAGCCAGCATACATTTTGCTCACTAATTAAAAATCACAAAACAGAAATGGCTTGCGATCGAACTATCCATTCAAGTTCTCAATTTTTCATAAAAAAAATTTAATTAGCACATTGAAATGGAAATTCAATTAGTTAATTATCTTCGTTGAATGACTTCCCTACGCGTGTTGAAATCCTTCATGCAGTTAATCGAAAACTACACAGAAGACAATACAGAAGTAATAGGCTATAAGGTCCCTGTTCCTCTCATCTCTCCTGAGATGGCTGAAGCACTAATTAAAGAAACGATGACTGTTCTCCAAAATAAGCCAACTCTCGTCAGAATTGATGCACCATGCTATGTAGTTGGCGACATACATGGTAACCTATACGATTTGATAAGAATTCTTTCTATGGCTAAAATGCCGCCAATGTCTAGATATGTTTTTCTTGGCGACTATGTCGATAGAGGACAGTTTTCTTATGAGATTGTCTTATTACTCTTCGCTTTACAATGCCAATATCCTAACGATGTTGTACTTCTTCGCGGAAATCACGAATTTGCTGACGTTAATAGCGTTTATGGATTTTTCGATGAAATGTCTCAACTTGAAAATGGACAATATCTTTATGATCTTATGAATAAGGCCTTCGAATGGCTTCCTATTGCAGCAATTATTCAGAACAAAATTTTCTGTGTTCATGGTGGAATTTCACCAGATCTCAATGATATATCTCAAGTCGAAAAAATCGAACGCCCAATTAAAATTTGCGAAGATGAACTTTTAGCAGATTTGATGTGGAGTGATCCAACAAGTGATACGAAGACTTACGCTCGTAGTACAAGAGGTCTCGGAATTTCATACGGAACTTCATTAGTTCACGATTATTTAAAGAAAAATAGTTTGACTTCAGTTCTTAGAGGCCACCAATGCGTTCAGAATGGAATCCAAAAGGCTCTTGATGGCCAAGTATATACAGTTTTCTCTTGCTCTAATTATGCAGATGCTTTAGACAATAGATGCGGATTATTATTCTTAAATCAGACCTTAGAAATGCAATTCTTCTCATTACCTCCTCGTCCCCAGCTCGTGAGAGAGAGAACTTCATTTTATCCAGTCAATAAATCAACTATTTTCGAAAGCGAAAACACAGTTATTCCATTTTCAATAACTGCTAAGCAATTCGAAATAAAGAAGGCAATGCTTGCTGTTCCACTTCCAAAACTTCGCTCTAATTCTCAATGCGCGATGCCAAAGACAAATAGATTCGCTAGAAACCGTATGAAATATATATAGATTGTATGTTTATTTTTCTATATGTGTTAAAATTTATATACATGTATTTAATTTTCAGATTTTTGATTCTTTCAATATTTTTTCAAGTTTG